AGGAGGAGAAGAACGGGGGGGGGGGGGGGCAAACAACATGAAGATTGCTGGGAGGATGATTGACAACAGCCTGGACAGACAGGCGGCGTGGAGGGCCAAGAGACTGGGGGAGGGTTGGGAAGAATGATCAAGACACAGGAAAGAAGACACAGTAGACATGGCGGACTGGGTAGGAAGAGGGAAAAACTCCAGATGGAAAACCAAGAGAGAGACCCTTCGGGACAGAAACGTAAAGGAACAAGGGAGGAGGGTGGTGGGCGTGTCCGAGTCCAAGGCCTGGAAACGGTTGTGTGACTGAGGAAGGTGAGAAGGACGAGGAGAGGATAGGTAGAACACAACACGCGAGCATAAGATACGCCAGTGAAAGGGTGGATGGAGACGGCGGACTTGGCGTCTCACTTCAGGAAAAGTCAAATGATCCCGGAGTTTCAAGTTGAGGACGGCGTCCTCAAGCTTGTAGTGTATACACGTGCGGGAGAAGGCAGTGTTGGCCTCACCATAATTGAGGCAGCGAGTCTGGAAAAAAAAGCAATCTGTCTTAGAGTGGTCATCGCCCCCACACATGAGGCATAGAGAGACAAGACTTGAGCATTTGAGGGCACCGTGCCCGAACTTCCAGCACTTATTACAAAGTCTAGGAGAGGGGATGTACTCATGAACGGAGCACCTGGCACCAGCAAGAATGGTAGAGGCGGAAGGGTCCTAGTATCGAAGGTGATTTTCACAACTCGAAGGGGCTGACGGCGACGACCACGAGGGGGTCGAGTGAACGTGTCCACCTGGAGGACAGGATGACCTTGGGCTTGGAGGATATGCTTAATATCCTCATGGCAGTCTTTTAGGTACCTAATACCAGTTGCAATAAGGTGCGGGAGGAGAACAGTGCCAACACTGGCATTTAACCGAGCTTTACTGTACAATATCTGAATTTACCTGAGGACCTCGACGAGGACAGAAAGTTGTCGGCTTGTCAAAGGTTTCCCCATTTGTCCTTATGATTTTATAGAGCTGGATTTTGAAATTCAGCAGTGTTCTTGTAGCTATGATCATTTAAGTGGGGATTGTCATAGATACTTATCAAGAGGTTTAATTCTGGGTCTAAGCTTGACTGAATTCAGAGTGCTGATTGGAGTAAGAAATAAAACTATTAAAATTGTACTTTACAGACAGGTAAAGTTAATTATTAATGTATATAAATTAAGAGTTAGAGATCATTATTTATAAAAATTGTTCAAAGTATGAATTATAATAATAACTTCAAAAAATTGGTAATACTGTACAAAGGTAATAATGCTATTTAAAACGTATTTTACAATCTAGTGAAGTTCAAATGAAGATGGACTAAAATATATTAAATCTAAAACATGAAAAACACAAAATTGCAACTAATTTCCGATAATTGCAACTAAGTGAGTAAATGAGCCGGAGTGGAATAGATGAAATAATATACTATTAAGGTAATCAAGAATTAAATGTGGAAGCAAAACAGATGATAACAAATGAGAACAATGTTAGATATTTAATAGTCTGATAAGATAGCAAGTTTGTCTATAGTAAGGTAGCTTACGGTGAATGAAAAGTAAGATTAATTGACAGATTTGTCATAAAACAACACTAAATGACGAGAAAATGGGTGTTAGTGCAGATGGAATACCAGTCATATAAAAATAAAAAAAAATAAAAATGCAAAAAAGTTAGACTGCAAGTTGAATCTTCACGATGAGGTAACTGTAGGATGAGACATAGAGAACAAAAATTTATAAAAATACTTTAATAGAAAACTGACGTTAAACAAATTATAAAACAAAATAATATCCAAGCTTGGCTTGATACAAAGAGTGCAAATCAAACAAGACAAACAAACAATTAAATTTACGGTACGTTAATGTGTAAACACTAGAAAATGGTGCGGGAATACTGAGAGCTAAGATTGCATAAATCTGTCACCACACCGAGGTATGCCAACAGACCTAGTCAGTAGAGCACTCAGGAGTAATCTGAATCGTGGTGATTGATTGATTGATGAAGATTAAGCCACCCAAAAGGTGGCACGGGCATGAATAGCCAGTAAGTGGTGGCTCTTTTGAGCCATTACCAGTATCAAGAGCTGATACTGGAGATCTGTGGAGATGCGACTGCACCCTGCGTGACGGGAGATGTCTCCCGTGAATCGTGGTGGTGGCTTGCTTCTATTTATATGGGAGCTGGACCAAGGTAGGTGGCACTGGTGTCTGATAATTGTAGAGCGCCACACACAAACTACCACTGGGCTAGTTTCCTGGCCGGTGGTGTGAGCTCCCAGCTACCAGGTGCGAGGAGGGTGACGGGCCGTGGTGTAGGGGGGAGGTAGTCCACTGTCTAGACGTTTGTGAGTTGTTGTTGTTGTTGTTCTTGGGGCGTTGATACCTGGTTGATGGGGTTCTGGGAGTTCTTCTACTCCCCAAGCCCGGCCCGAGGCCAGGCTTGACTTGTGAGAGTTTGGTCCACCAGGCTGTTGCTTGGAGCGGCCCGCAGGCCCACATACCCACCACAGCCCGGTTGGTCCGGCACTCCTTGGAGGAAACAATCTAGTTTCCTCTTGAAGATGTCCACGGTTGTTCCGGCAATATTTCTTATGCTCGCTGGGAGGGTGTTGAACAACCGCGGACCTCTGATGTTTATACAGTGTTCTCTGATTGTGCCTATGGCACCTCTGCTCTTCACTGGTTCTATTCTGCATTTTCTTCCATATCGTTCACTCCAGTACGTTGTTATTTTACTGTGTAGATTTGGTACTTGGCCCTCCAGTATCTTCCACGTGTATATTATTTGATATCTCTCTCGTCTTCTTTCTAGTGAGTACATTTGGAGGGCTTTGAGACGATCCCAATAATTTAGGTGCTTTATCGCGTCTATGCGTGCCGTATATGTTCTCTGTATTCCCTCTATTTCAGCAATCTCTCCTGCTCTGAAGGGGGAAGTGAGTACTGAGCAGTACTCAAGACGGGACAACACAAGTGACTTGAAGAGTACAACCATTGTGATGGGATCCCTGGATTTGAAAGTTCTCGTAATCCATCCTATCATTTTTCCTGGCTGACGCAATATTTGCTTGGTTATGCTCCCTAAACGTTAGGTCGTCAGACATCATTATTCCCAAATCCTTTACATGCTGTTTTCCTACTATGGGCACATTTGATTGTGTTTTGTACCCTGTATTATGTTTAAGGTCCTCATTTTTACCGTACCTGAGTACCTGGAATTTATCACTGTTAAACATCATGTTATTTTCTGATGCCCAGTCGAAAACTTTATTAATATCAGCTTGAAGTTTTTCAATGTCTTCAATGGTTGACTGTTATTCGCTGAGTCCTGTTTGACAGAAAACTGAATATCCAGCGTCCTACTTTATCGGTTATTCCCTTTGACTTCATTTTGTGTGCTATCACTCCATGATCACATTTATTGAATGCCTTTGCTAAATCCGTGTATATCACATCTGCATTCTATTTTTCTTCTAATGCCTCAGTGATTTTGTCATAGTGGTCAAGTAGCTGTGAGAGGCATGATCGTCCTGCTCTAAATCCATGTTGGCCTGGATTGTGGAGGTCATTGGTTTCCATGAATCTAGTGACCTGACTCCTGATCACTCTCTCAAATACTTTTATTATGTGGAAAGTTAGTGCAACTGGTCTATAATTCTTTGACAATGCTTTGCTACCTCTCTTGTGTAGAGGGGCTATGTCTGCTGCTTTAAGCGCATCTGGTATCTCCCCCGTGTCCAAGCTCTTCTTCCACACTATACTGAGTGCCTGTGCTACTGGCACTTTGCATTTCTTTATAAATATTGAATTCCATGAGTCTGGACCTGGGGGTGAATGCATGGGCATATTGTCAATTTCACTTTCAAAATCTGCCACGCTCGTTTTGATATCAGTTATATCCAACAGGGGTTTGGATATCACCCATATAGAAGTTGTCCGGATCCTCCACTTTCATGCTGTGTATCGGAGTGCTAAACATGTCCTCATACTGCTTTTTTAGGATTTCACAAATTTCTTTGTCATCCTCAGTATATGAACCTTCACTAGTACGAATTTTCACTAGTACTTTCCCTTCAACGGAAAGGTTGAAGATATTCTGGAGAGATATAAGAATTTTGCACCAAGATTGTAACCTTTTGTTGAATTGTCTGAATGTCTCTTGCAAGTTATCTATACACCTAGTCATAAAAGTATTTGTGCGTATGTCTGGTAACATACTGCATGTGTAAAGTATATGTTTATCTCTCAGATTGTTCAGTAATGTTTATTGTTTGTCATTTGTCTATATATGTATGGACACGTTGTACTGAACGGGGTGAGAATAGCTTGAGCTACCTCATCCCTTTGAGTGTATTTTACCTCAATAAACCAATTTCAATTTCAATTCAATCTCTTTAGTGGCCCCGACGCAGACAGGAAGCCGGCGACTTGTCAAAGGTCCCCTCATTTTTCTTGATGATTTTTTCCAGCTGGATTTTGAACTGTATTATTCACGGATAATTTGCTTCTCACACTTTCTTATTGTCACCAAATATTTGTCTCAAGTGTGAACCTCTATCTATAGTCCCCCGGGTAACCAGCACAGGCTCTAATCTTGCACTATTTTCCCGACAGACCCGATGCGTTCCAGGATAGCACCGTTGGACATCCCGTCAACAGGGAAGAGAAGCGGGCGTAGCCTAGGTCAGTAATGCTTCCTCCTAATGTTGCTCCATCACCATGATTCTGCTGGTGCCTTGATGCTCATCACTAGCTCACACAGCTATTGACCACAGTTTCTAAATGAATTAAATTGATGTGATGACGTAGCTCATAGAATTAGTTGCACGAGGGGATCAAATGACAATCCCATAGGCTATAGCCACTTTAGTTTTCATTTATTTTTTTCCAATAGTCAAGAGATGGGAGCTTAATTAAGACACGGCAGGATTTAATGTAATTCGTTATAAGTGTGTGATGAAATTCTATGACCAATCATATTTGTAGATATTATTGTTCATACCAATTAACAAAACATTTTCATCTAGTTATATTGTAAGATCACAATTTGAAGGTTTTGATAATTGTTATAATATATAATATTCTACAATGAATATAATTTGTAATGAAGGTTTTGTAATTTGTAATGACGTAATTTGTAATCACTACGTCTGCTCCCGAGTGACCATCAAATCACCACCAGCTTATTGATAACTTCTTTTTGCGAGTTTTTGTTACGTATTTTTGTAATATATATTTTCTTACATTTTCTGGAATAATGAAGAGCCATCGTTTGAGTGTTTTAAATGACAATTAATGTTTATGAAATTGACACTTTATTATTCATTTTATCAAATAACCCAACTTACACATGAAAATATATGAGATCGACAACCTTTGGGTCAGTCGTGAGTGACGTAAAACCCTCATCAAGTGGTGAAAGGGAGAGTGGGAGACGCAGTCAATATTGACTCCCTCTCCCACTGTAACATCTGTAGCACTCCCACTGCAGCAACTGTAACAAACATAAAAATACACCAAAAACATCTCATTCAAAACGGCAAACATGTCATCCTACAGACCCTATGAGGTCTCGCGTGGCGCCCCGGACGTACGGCCAACAGAACGGTCCCTACGTCATCACCGCCACCCGCCTCAACGAGATCCGGTCAGACCTCATGTACCCGTACTTCGACACCGACCAGAGCGGCGGCACCGGCGACCTCGAGGTCAACATTAACACCCAGAACACGCAGGTTAATAAGCAGCTCACCTTCCTCCTCCCATTCTTCGGCTTCGGTCTCAACTACACTTGGGTGAGTGCTTATTTGATCCGGCTAATACAGATCTGTGATTATATGTCCATACCTTCAAGTTTAACTAAACCTAGACAAAGATTTTTATACTGGATAACATAACGATTTGTAATAGTCATTAATGTTATAATTGGTTTAAATATTAAATTATTGTTACAAATGATTTAAATAATAAATCACTTTATAGGCTCAGAAAGGTAAGCATGACTATGAATATAGCGTCATTATTATTATTATAGGTATCCCTGAACGGCTACCTGGGCTTCTCTGACGCTCCCTTCAACTGGAAGCACTACCCGCTCAGCTTCCCTGTACCCCAGTGGCCGGACCAGCCCGACCCGTCCTTCATTGGACCCTTCTACTCCAAATGTAACATTGGAGAGCTTCGTCCCGGAGATGACAAGAGCAGGAGGCCCGGCGTGTATTGGAGGTATGTGCTGGCGCTGGGGACTGGAGGTATGTGCTGGCGCTGGGGACTGCAGGTGTGTTGCTGATGTGTACTGGGAGTGGGTACGGGTGATGTGTACTGGAAGTGGGTACTGGAGGTGTGTACTAGCGGTGGTATAAGAGGTGAGTATTGAAAGTACTGGTGGTGTATATTTGCGGTGGGATCAGGAGGCAGGTACTGACGGTGGGCACTGGAAGCAGATATTGGAGGTGGGTGATAGTGGAGGATACTAGAGGTCCTGCAGGTGTGAGTGGCCGCCATATGTGTCCTGCGTCACACACCTGACTCCTGTGTTTCCTCCCACACGCGACACCTGTTTGTCACCACTAAGGAGGCATGCGGATCTACCTTATCTTCAAACTTGAGAAACTCCGGAACAACAGAACCCGTAATTGACGAACTGTGTCACCATGATGGGATAACGTCAGCTACCAAAACTGTTCATGCAGCAGACATTGACACATGACTGTCACAAAAGTGGATAGGATTACATTAGATTTTGCTATTTATTAATACTTTGTATATGTTTTGTTTTTTTAAATTGGCGGCAGCCTAGTGATTTAATTCTCCCGTATTTTTGTGGATGATGTAGTTGCGAGATTTGTAGTTTGTGCCGTGTCCACCTGAGGCTGTTATCAGCGGCGTCACTTGTATATATCTTATGCTGAGTCACTACTGACGAGGCGCCACTATTGCATTACTTACTGGAATGTGAAACAACTGAAGCCCTGCGTATCAAACTCAACATTAATCCAACGACAGCAGCCGCATTAGATGCAAATTCCATAGCGACTACAATTTAAGACGAATATCAAGAGAACTAAATCTTGCACCTCACGAGAGTGTACCACAGGGTACACAGCACCAGGGTGCTTGGCAGGGGGGTACCACACGAGAGTGTACCACAGGGTACACAGCACCAGGGTGCTTGGCAGCGGGGTACCACACGAGAGTGTACCACAGGGTACACAGCACCAGGGTGCTTGGCAGGGGTACCACACGAGAGTGTACCACAGGGTACACAGCACCAGGGTGCTTGGCAGGGGTACCACACGAGAGTGTACCACAGGGTACACAGCACCAGGGTGCTTGGCAGGGGGGTACCACACGAGTGTGTACCACAGGGTACACAGCACCAGGGTGCTTGGCAGGGGGGTACCACACGAGTGTGTACCACAGGGTACACAGCACCAGGGTGCTTGGCAGGGGAGTACCACACGAGTGTGTACCACAGGGTACACAGCACCAGGGTGCTTGGCAGCGGGGTACCACACGAGTGTGTACCACAGGGTACACAGCACCAGGGTGCTTGGCAGGGGTACCACACGAGAGTGTACCACAGGGTACACAGCACCAGGGTGCTTGGCAGGGGGGTACCACACGAGTGTGTACCACAGGGTACACAGCACCAGGGTGCTTGGCAGGGGTACCACACGAGTGTGTACCACAGGGTACACAGCACCAGGGTGCGTGGCAGGGGGGTACCACACGAGTGTGTACCACAGGGTACACAGCACCAGGGTGCTTGGCAGCAGGGTACCACACGAGTGTGTACAACAGGGTACACAGCACCAGGGTGCTTGGCAGGGGTACCACACGAGAGTGTACCACAGGGTACACAGCACCAGGGTGCTTGGCAGGGGTACCACACGAGAGTGTACCACAGGGTACACAGCACCAGGGTGCTTGGCAGGGGGGTACCACACGAGTGTGTACCACAGGGTACACAGCACCAGGGTGCTTGGCAGCGGGGTACCACACGAGTGTACCACAGGGTACACAGCACCAGGGTGCTTGGCAGGGGTACCACACGAGTGTACCACAGGGGACACAGCACCATGGGTGCTTGGCAGGGGTACCACACGAGAGTGTACCACAGGGTACACAGCACCAGGGTGCTTGGCAGGGGGGTACCACACGAGAGTGTACCACAGGGTACATAGCACCAGGGTGTTTGGCAGGGGTACCACACGAATGTACCACAGGGTACACAGCACCAGGGTGCTTGGCAGGGGGGCACTACACGAGAGTGTACCACAGGGTACACAGCACCAGGGGTGCTTGGCAGGGGTACCACACGAGAGTGTACCACAGGGTACACAGCACCAGGGTGCTTGGCAGGGGTACCACACGAGTGTACCACAGGGTACACAGCACCAGGGTGCTTGGCAGGGGGGCACTACACGAGAGTGTACCACAGGGTACACAGCACCAGGGTGCTTGGCAGGGGGGTACCACACGAGAGTGTACCACAGGGTACGCAGCACCAGGGTGCTTGGCAGCGGGGTACCACACGAGAGTGTACCACAGGGTACACAGCACCAGGGTGCTTGGCAGCGGGGTACCACACGAGAGTGTACCACAAGGTACACAGCACCAGGGTGCTTGGCAGGGGGGTACCACACGAGAGTGTACCACAGGGTACACAGCACCAGGGTGCTTGGCAGGGGGGTACCACACGAGAGTGTACCACAGGGTACACAGCACCAGGGTGCTTGGCAAGGGGGGTACGCTCTGTCACACCTGTCAACTCGACACTCAAATAAAGCAGGAGGATATAAGGAAGAATGTCTTCAGCCTGAAGGTTGTAAAGAAGTGGAAGCTATCTACATACCCGGATTTAATTGTAGATATGACGAATCAAGAGATCAGAAAGTCATCGACCCATTTAATTGACGGTTAAGCGAGGCCCAAGAGCTAAAGCTCAAGCCCCACAAAGAAGCTCAATTACGACTATATAGCACTTGGAAGGGCTCAGGATAAGGATTTGGGATGGGACGGGGGGAAGGAATGTTACCCAACCACTTGGACGGTCGGGGATTGAACGCCGACCTGCGTGAGTCCGTCGCACCAAGCCCAAGTGGTTGGGTAGAGACAGAGGAGGTAATGCCTGTAGGGTGACTCCCGCCCCTCCTCCTCCCGCAGGCTGGAGCGCGACCTACCGTCCCGCGAGGACCAGTTCGGGGTGGAGCTCCGGGAGCGCGTCAAGTGGGACGTCCGAGAGGGCATCGTCGGGGCCGCCATCTTCAAGCCCAAACACGTCATCATCGTCACCTGGAAGAACGTCACCTTCTCCGGCGGCTCCGTCAACACTGACGCCAAATATATCGTAAGTTCTCCATCTTGAACGGTTTGTTCTCTGTCCGTAAGCTCCTATTCTCCCACATGTTGCTATAGTGAACATTTGGTCATAAGTTCTTCTTGAACTTTTGTCTTAATTTATGATTCCTAAGTTCCTCCTGAGCTTTCGTCTTGAGTTTTGAATCTTATCGTGTGTTTTGTGTTCTGGTTCTTCAATTTGTTGTCCCGAGTTCTCAATCTTCAACCACTGGCTGTTTTTTTTGTTGTTGTTTTAATTTCATCGTCGACTTTTATAGTGAACTCTTAATTTTAACTTTTATAGTGAACTCTTAACTTTTATAGTGAACTCTTAACTTTAACTTTTATAGTGAACTTTTAACTTTAACTTTTATAAACTCTTAACTTTAACTTTTATAGTGAACTCTTAATTTTAACTTTTATAGTGAACTTTTAACTTTAACTTTTATAGTGAACTCTTAACTTTAACTTTTATAGTGAACTCTTAACTTGAACTTCTATAGTGAACTCTTAACTTTAACTTCTATAGTGAACTCTTAACTTTAACTTCTATAGTGAACTCTTAACTTTAACTTCTATAGTGAACTCTTAACTTTAACTTCTATAGTGACGTGTTCTTGAGCTCTTCTTGTTATTTGTGTTCTTGAGCTCTTATTATTATTTGTGTTCTTGATTCTATAGTGAGTTTTGTTCTGGAACTTTATGGTGAGTCTTGCTTTTGAACTTTTATAATAGCGAGTTCTTGTTCTTAAGTTTATAGTCAGTTCTCTCTCTCTAACTTTAAAGAATTTAATTCTTAAACTTTTTCTTTATCATACTTCCACTTAAAACGTAAATTTGTATTAGTGAACTTGTATAATAAAATCTTAGGGGGTCCCTGGTCCCAGTGGTATAATCGGGTTCGTTTTCGACTCACAATCGAAACCGGGTTCGAATCTCGGGCGGAACAGAAATGGTTGAGCATATTTCCTTTCACCTAATGCACCTGTCCACCTAGCAGTAAATACTAGGTACCCAGGAGTTAGTCAGCTTATTGTGGGGTTCCATCCTGGGGAGGGTCAGTAAGTCAACCTTGGAGGAGGGGGGGGACTCGATATAAGCCTAACATGTACTGTATGTATAACCTGGCTTCCTGTCCCTGACACAATGAATTATTATTAATTACTAGCTGTACCCAGCCACGCGTTACTGTGTCACAGCATCCTTCCTCTGTCTCCCAGTCCTCCCTACCATTGCCCCCTCCCCCGTCCCTTCATCCACCCCCACCATCTCCCACTCCCCCCTGTCCCTTTGTCCTCCCCACCATTCTCCATTCCTCTGTTCCCTCGTCTCTACCATCTCCAACTCCCCTTTTCCCCCTCGTCGTCCCCACCATCCCCCATTCTCGTCCTCTCGTCCTCCCCACCATTTCCCACTTCCTCGTCTGATACATTCCCAAATGATCTGATGTTACCATCACTGAAATATAAGAAAAACAGTTAAAAAAAACGGAATGACAAACAATGAAAAAAATAAAAAATATACTATACTCACGAAATGAATGGTATGGTAAACAACACATCTCAATTCCAATGCAATGTCACACAAAATTATTAAATCAAAATGAAAATAAATCGAAATATATGAAAATTAAATTTATCAATGCAATCGGAAACATTGAAATGGAATCGTAACATATTTAGTATAGCGTGTGTTGCTGTTACGTGCAATAGATGGCACTGTTTAAAAAAAAAAATACATGTTTTTACCTGTCACAGGTGTGTGGCATCTATATAGTAGGTATATAAAAACATGCGCGTATTTGAAAGGAACGTTGTGTCAAATTTTCAATGCAATCGGTGAAGAACTTTCGGAGATTACAGCATGTGTTGCTCCTACGTGCAACAGATGGCGCCGTTTTTTCAAAAAAGCATGTTTTTACCTGTCACGGGTGAGACATGTATAAAGTAGGTATATAAAAACACGCGCCAATTCGAATGTAACGTTGTGTCAAAATTTCAAAGCAATTGGAAAAGAGGTTTCGAAGATTTCCCTCACATGATAACACCAGTTGATTACCAGTTGATCGACAGTTGAGAGGCGGGACCAGAGAGCCAGAGCTCAACCCCCGCAAGTACAATTAGGTGAGTACATGAAAAACACAGTTTAAAAAAAAATGCATGTTTTTCCCATCACAGACGTGACATCTATATAGTATGTATATAAAATCCCGCTCGGATGCGAATGGAACGTTGTGTGAAAATTTCAAAGCAATCGGTGAAGAACTTTCTCAGATTAGCGGTTTTGAACAAACCAACATTTCCATTTTTATTTATATAGATTATCTTCCAGAAGTTTTACTGTGATTTCATCCTGAATTTTTATTGTGAGTTCTTTCGTAACTTTTATAGTTATTTTTTTTCTGATTATGTCTTGTTTCTATAGTTTTCTATAGAAAACTTTCCTCTTTTTCCATATAAAACTTTATTTTTTTAAATAAAACTTATATTTTTTCTATAGAAATCTTTTATTTTTTCTATAGAAAACGTTTTTTCTTCTATATAAATATCTTTTTTTTCATTGAAAACTTTTTTTTCTATTGAAAATTTTTCTATAGCAATGTCTGAGTATTGATCGAAAATTCTCTCAGAGGATAACACCGGTGATCTTTCCTCACAAGTTATCATGATAACACCTGTGATCTTTCCTCACAAGTTCTCATGATAACACCTGTGATCTTTCTTCACAAGTTCTCATGATAACACCTGTGATCTTTCTTCACAAGTTCTCATGATAACACCTGTGATCTTTCTTCACAAGTTCTCATGATAACACCTGTGATCTTTCTTCACAAGTTCTCAGTGATAACACCTGTGATCTTCCCTCACAAGTTCTCATGATAACACCTGTGATCTTTCTTCACAAGTTCTCAGTGATAGCACCTGTGATCTTTCGTCACAAGTTCTCATGATAACACCTGTGATCTTTCTTCACAAGTTCTCAGTGATAACACCTGTGATCTTTCTTCACAAGTTCTCAGTGATAACACCTGTGATCTTTCTTCACAAGTTCTCAGTGATAACACCTGTGATCTTTCTTCACAAGTTCTCATGATAACACCTGTGATAACACACTGTGATCTTTCTTCACAAGTTCTCAGTGATAACACTGTGATCTTTCTTCACAAGTTCTCATGATAACACCTGTGATCTTTCTTCACAAGTTCTCATGATAACATCTTTCTGTTCTCATGATAACACCTGTGATCTTTCTTCACAAGTTCTCATGATAACACCTGTGATCTTTCTTCACAAGTTCTCAGTGATAACACCTGTGATCTTTCCTCACAAGTTCTCATGATAACACCTGTGATCTTTCCTCACAAGTTCTCATGATAACACCTGTGATCTTTCTTCACAAGTTCTCAGTGATAACACCTGTGATCTTTCCTCACAAGTTCTCATGATAACACCTGTGATCTTCCCTCACAAGTTCTCATGATAACAGTGTCGTCCATCTTGTTGTCTTTCATGTTGAGTTGTGTTTCCTTTGTATTACTCAAGTCTGTTTAACAGCTCCTGAACTTTCCGTCACTTCACTTGACCTTTGGAAATGACTTGTCTGGCTCTCAGACAAGTTTTGTTTTGTTCTTCTCTTGTTCTTAAACGCTTTGTTTATATTTTTTTTTACCTATTATGCTTGTATGATTTGTCAGTCTTAAACGTTATTTGTTAAAGTGTTTTAAGTATTTAAATTAATTTTTTTATTCAGGAAAAGTACATACATAGTTGATTTACAAAGATAATGTTGGATTTATAGATAGAGCTAGTACATACAATGCCTAAAGCCACTAATACGCTCAGCGTTTCGGGCAGCGTTTGAGAGCTTTAATATACCAATGTGCTGTACTATACTTACTAATCTCTCTCATCTCATTTTTTTTCTTGCACTGTATCTGTTATCATTTTATTAATTCTGCTAGAATTTACCTACTTAAAATTATCTGTTAGATTAAGGACCTGCCCGAAACGCTGCGCGTACTAGTGGCTTTACAAGATTGTAAATACTATGCTATGTATTCTCTCTAACCCAATGTACCTTCTTGTATATAAATAAATAAATAAATAAACAAATAAATAAATAAATAAATAAATAAATAAAACTTATTATACTCTCACATATAAACGTGTGTGGTGACTTTAGACCATAGGCTTCTGTGTAAGGGAATGAGTTAAGATGTGCACTAATGTGTTGTCTCGGGTGTTGCTCCTGCCGCAGACCAACACATTCCAGTTGGTGGTGACGACGGACGAGATCAGGACCTACGCCTTCTTCAACTACGAGTTCATGAAGTGGACTTCACACACCGAGGCCGGAGGCTCTACTGACGAGGGCCAGGGCGGCGTCCCGGCTTACGTAAGACCCTTCATGTCCTGGTTTCTCTCTCGCTATTCATCTATCACTTTTCATATATTTACATTCCCGACCATTTGGGCTGGACGGTAGAGCGACGGTCTCGCTTCACGCAGATCGGTGTTGAATCCCCCGACTGTCCAAGTGCTTGGACACCATTCCTTCCCTTCGTCACATCGTAAATCCTTATCTAACTCCTAACAAATGCTATATAGTCTTAATGGCTTGGCGCTTTCTCCTGATAGTCCCCCGTTTCGTATCTCTAAAGCTGTTTGCCTGTGTTAATAGGCTGTGTTGTTCATCCTGGACCAGAGTACCAAACTGCTTAATTATTCCATGTCACAGTGTTGGTGTGACTGAGGCTTCCTCCCTCTCCTCACACCTTCCATCTTTGCCTTCAACGTGTCTGTTGAATTATCTCCTGGATAATAATAGCTAACATTCCTTCTTTATTTTATGCGTGAGTCTGTGTGTTGAGTGCGAAACGTCGCCGTTGGTGTTGTATATGATATATGATACAGTAAGTTTGGTCTGTGCTCAGGTTGGATTCAACGCAAGTCTGTGTTGAGTGCGAAACGTCGCCGTTGGTGTGGTATATGATATATGATATAGTAAGCTTGGTCTGTGCCCAGGTTGGGTTCAACGCAAGTCTGTGTTGAGTGCGAAACGTCGCCGTTGGTGTTGTATATGATATATGATACAGTAAGCTTGGTCTGTGCCCAGGTTGGGTTCAACGCCGGCAACGGGACCCGCTCCTACGAGTACACGCCCTACAGCCAGAAGCTCTACATCCGCGACCTGGCCGTGGCGGGCAACGCTAATGGCTTCCCAGGACGACACGTATTCAGGATTGACGAGAAGATCTTAGCCGGCTGCTGCAGGAGGGAGGAAGGTGAGTCCCACTGTGTGTCCCAAGTAAGTGTTGGTTCCTGTGTGGTTCTGGTGGTCCCTCAGTGTGTCCCGAGCAAGTGTTGGTTCCTGTATGGTTGTATCGAGTTACAAGCAACATTCACTACCAATATTAAAGTCATATATAACAATGCATACAATATATTTATGTATTCACACACATTAGTTAAAAAAGATATATTTTTAAACATTTCAGTTAATATTAGTGTATACATACTAAACCTAGGCTTCATTTACCCCACATTAATATCAAGAGTGTCATTATGAACCTCTGTAAGAGTTACATGAAGAAAGTCTTCGTGCAGATAGACATCACCTTAACGTGATGTCTTAATAAGACATAGAGACGCCTTAGTGATCTGAGGCGTTTGTTTGGGGGTACGCGGAGTATAGGTTCGAAGCCTCATCACTGATTTTCTCGAAGTCTTCGCTGTTGACATTTGTATTCGATTTTGAATAATGTTTAATTGATGCGTTATGAGTTGTGGTGCGTGAGACATGAGAGAGAGATCATTGTTTCAAGACAGGAGTTGTGTTGTGGTGTTGTCGCTGTTTTTACTCCTTATACGTCTCTGGCGTTAGTAAACGTTGGTCTTGTTGGCGTTGTGGTAGTCACGAACTGGTTAGTGTTGTGGTAGTCACGGTTGTTCACTGGTTAGTGTTGTGGTAGTCACGGTTGTTACACTGGTTAGTGTTGTGGTAGTCACGGTTGTTACACTGGTTAGTGTTGTGGTAGTCACGGTTGTTACACTGGTTAGTGTTGTGGTAGTCAGGGTTGTTCACTGGTTAGTGTTGTGGTAGTCAGGGTTGTTCACTGGTTAGTGTTGTGGTAGTCAGGGTTGTTCACTGGTTAGTGTTGTGGTAGTCAGGGTTGTTCACTGGTTAGTGTTGTGGTAGTCAGGGTTGTTACACTGGTTAGTGTTGTGGTAGTCAGGGTTGTTACACTGGTTAGTGTTGTGGTAGTCAGGGTTGTTCACTGGTTAGTGTTGTGGTAGTCAGGGTTGTTACACTGGTTAGTGTTGTGGTAGTCAGGGTTGTTCACTGGTTAGTGTTGTGGTAGTCAGGGTTGTTACACTGGTTAGTGTTGTGGTAGTCAGGGTTGTTCACTGGTTAGTGTTGTGGTAGTCAGGGTTGTTACACTGGTTAGTGTTGTGGTAGTCAGGGTTGTTCACTGGTTAGTGTTGTGGTAGTCAGGGTTGTTCACTGGTTAGTGTTGTGGTAGTCAGGGTTGTTACACTGGTTAGTGTTGTGGTAGTCAGGGTTGTTACACTGGTTAGTGTTGTGGTAGTCAGGGTTGTTACACTGGTTAGTGTTGTGGTAGTCAGGGTTGTTCACTGGTTAGTGTTGTGGTAGTCAGGGTTGTTACGCTGGTTAGTGTTGTGGTAGTCAGGGTTGTTACGCTGGTTAGTGTTGTGGTAGTCAGGGTTGTTTACCTATTAGCGATCTGGTGAGTCCCTCAGGAACTTTCTTCCCCATAAGTTCTATAAATTTTAATGTTTTCATGTGTATTCTCTCTTCTGAAATATATGTACATCAGGCTTCATTAATCAAGAATTAGATTGAACTATCATGTCGAAGCTTAGGCGAACTATAATTACTTTGAGCTACATTATAATAAAGAGGAGTTATAACATGTGCAGACGAGAAGTCACAATAACGTGGCTGAAATAAGTTGACCAAACCACACACTAGAGAGTGAAGGGACGACGACGTTTCGATCCGTCCTGGATCATTCTCAAGTCGATTGTGATGTCACAATCGACTTGAGAATGGCCCAGGACGGACCGAAACGTCGTCGTCCCTTCATTTTCTAGTGTGTGGTTTGGTCAACGAGTTATATCATGTCAAAATCTGAGGTTATGTTATGTGTGTGTATCAGAGTTGAAGCACTACCCGCTGACGTTCTCGCCGGAGCAAGGCAACATGCTCGGGGGGACGCTGGTAAACATGACGGGGCCCTGCTTCAAGACCGGATACCGCCTCAGCTGCCAGTTTGACACTACCACCGTCGAGGGTCACGTCATCAATGATAACCTCGCCACCTGCATCATGCCTCAGCTCCTGGTCTCCGGTTACATCGATTTGTCCATTTCCATCAACGGTGGACCCTTCTATTGGAGGGGCAAGTTCTTTGTTGGTGAGTTGAAACTTTGTCACCATTTTCTGCTGCTGTTGGAGCAGCTGATTCTGGGAAGCTCTCTTGTTTCTTGTTTAACTATAGGATTCCTTTGGGTTTTTTAATGCTATTTTCTACAATATACGATTCATTTTTATGTTTTCTAAGAGGAATAAGTTTCTTTTCCTTTCCAGCTTAACATAATATAGTCTACTATATTATATATTTCTGTTCAGGTTGTGAATTTGTTTACGTTAATTAACTTTATATTTCATTATTACCCATTGCATCACATAGTGATGCAGGTGTTCGAGTAATGTTAACTCATTGTGTTTGGTCAGGTGTACATTGGCAGGTGTGTAAGTTGACAGAGATGCTTGCAACCGAGTCTAAGACAAGCAGCAGTAGCAACGAGGAGGCTGCTGATCTTATTTAACGATCCATATGCATACTCAATATCCATATTCAGATCCATATCATACTCAAAGCTATCGACAAGAACTATGAATATGAAAAAAACTTAGGATTGGTCTAGTTGCAAAGGAAGTAGTTAAGAGGTACTCCTATTATGAGAGTAGATTCAAAGAAGCAAAAGGCAACATGAAAAGCACATGGAGAGCCATCTCTAACATCCTAGGAGCTAAACAACATTCACATAACCAGATAAAAATCTCCAAGGATGGTTATACACCTGCAACAGATCTAGAAACAGCAACTGAATTTAATAGCTTCTTTTCATCGGTTGGTGCTAACCTTGCCAGAAAAATCCCACAGACTCAGTCACATGTTAACACATATCTTTCAGGCAGCTATCCAAACTCCTCTCCTCTCACCAGTCAACCCTACAGATGTGTCCATCATTCACTCACTAAAAAACAAAGTTGGGAACATTAGTGAAATTAGTGTATACCCATGGTATACAAGAGTGTCTCCAATGCCCTTGTGCCACCCATAGCTTTGCTGTTCAACAAATCTCTAGAGTGTCATACCTTCCCTGATATCCTTAAAAAAACAAGAGTAACACCAGTTCATAAAGGAGGCAATCCGGCAGACATGAACAATTACAGACCAATATCAAATCTACCTATATTATCAAAAATATTTGAATTTTTTTTTTGCAAACAGATCTACTCCTATCTCATAAAATTCAACACACTAAGTCCCTGTTAGTTTGGCTTACGCTTCCAAAAGAGTACCAATGATGCAATTGTTAGTCTGCTTGACTTTATCTACTCAGCCCTTGACAAAAATGAGTTTCCGATTGGACTCTCCATTGACCTGAGAAAGGCCTTTGATACTGTTAACCATAACTACCTCTTACTTAAACTCCATCATTATGGAATCCGAGGCCTTGCCCTGAACTATATCCGATCTTATCCTAGTGACAGACACCAATATGTGGCCATCAATGATATAACCTCTCCCACTCAACCATTAACCGCAGGGGTGCCACAGGGCAGCATCCTAGGACCTCTCCTATTTCTTATATACATCAATGATCTGCCTAATGTCTCTTTCATTCTTACGCCTATATTATTTACTGATGATACTACTCTCATCTCCCCAGACCCCAACCCACACACTCTAAATAATGTTGTAAACAATGAACTAAAAAAAAGTTCACTTATGGATGTCAACCAACAAACTCACACTAAACATAGAAAAGACCTGCTACATCTTATTTGGAAGCAAATAAAAAAATGCAATTCAGCTTATATAGTCGAATGGCTTGGCGCTTTCCCTTGATAACCCCCCCCTCTTCAGATAGACAATGTTAACACCAACAATAAAAATTATGGAATGTTCTTTGGCCTATACTTTGACAAGAGACTCAACTTCAGCACCCACATACAACACATAACCAAGAAAGTCTCAAAAACGGTTGGTATACTCTCTACAATCAGATATTATGTTCCAAACTTTGCTCTCCTCTCACTATACTATGCGCTAATCTATCCCTATCTTACACATGGTATCTGTGCATGGGGCTCAACCTCTGCAAACCACCTTAAGCCCATCATCACCCAGCAAAAATCTGCTATCAGAACAATAACAAACTCGCCTTTCAGACAACACTCAGCCCCCTGTTTAAATCCCTAAACATGCTAAACATAACCTCACTCCACACATTCTCTTGTGTCAGTTACATTTACAAAACCCTTTTCTTAAGTGCAAACCCTGTTCTGAAACTCTTCCTGGACAGATGTAATAGAACCCATTATCACCACACCAGAAATAAATATCTCTTTGATATCCCCAGAGTCAAACTTAATCTGTGTAAACACTCTATGCAAATAAAGGGACCCAGTCTATGGAACTCTCTCCCTAATGAATTGAAAAGCTGTCAAACGTTTGCCATATTCAAAAATAAAACCAAAAAGTACCTAATTTCATCAGCATAGTTTCCTACCTAATGCTTGAAACTCGCACTGTATCTAGTGCTACCCAATTTCCCAAACTATGTACCTATGCCATACATCTTTACCATTGTAATCATTGTTGTTATCTTGCATCATATTATACACATAGTTTGCTACATTATATCTTGCAATAATCCTCAAATTATGCTACAATGTACTTGTGGATAACCCTTAAATTTACTTTAAAGTACCTACTTTTTTTCCTGTCAAATTTCTTATACAATTTATTTTTTTTATACTTTCCAATAATGCATTTTTATACCTTCTTACAGTGTCTTTTTATACTTTCTTACAATGTACCTATAAACATTTTCTTTTTATTTTGCTAGAAATTACCTTCTTAATTATATGTTAGATTAAGGATCTGCCCGTAACGCTATGCGTGCTTTACTAGAAGGTCAAACTTCAAGTCTCTGTACTTTCATAAACCCAATGTACCTTCTTGTATGCAAATAAATAAATAAATAAATAAATAAATAAATAAATAAATAAATAAATAAATAAATAAATAAATAAAAATAAATAAATAAATAAATAAATATGTATATGGCTATTTGGTATTGTAATATGACGATATATGGAATAGTTGGTGCAAATCTCACTCTGTGTCACCTATAAAGTTTTGTTAGAGGTTTTGTTCTCGGGCTGCTTACAAGGTATCCGAGATTATATAATTTTTGTTTCTTCGAAGGCATGCTCTCTCGCTAGCTCAAAAGTTATTTTATGCACTCGTAGACCAACATGAGAAGTAAGCTACATTTAATAGACTCTTCTTGCCATTATTAATTTTTGTATTATGTCTAACTTCAGATATAAGCACGTTATAATTATATTTTAAAGTTCACCGCAACTAAGGGGAGGAATTACTTACAGTTAATGTGTCAGTTTACTAAGATGTTTATGTCAATCAGAGTATACATTTGAGTACAAGGAGTAAGGTAAATAGTTCAGGCTGAAGGGTGTTCATTCCGACTCCCAATTCAAAATGTGAGACATTACTCGGAGTGTCGACAGCTGCACTTCAACATCACGGCAACGCATTTAAATTCTAATATGAAATTTGTATACATTTAAAATGAGTACTGTAAGTTTTCTGGATTTCTCGCCTGCCAGAAACGCCACTGACGGCACCTGAGGGCGTTTGGTTCAAGGACGACAGCTACGAGCAACACTCCCCACTCTCCCTGGAGATGAACTGGTTGGCGGGCAACCTGACCATGAACAGGGACGCCCCCGTCATGATATCCCTGTGGGGCTACCGGGAGATCAGCATCAAGCCGGAGCTCATCTACATCGACGTGCTGGTGGTGAGACTCCACGTCGTCCTCCTCCTCCCTCGTCTAGATGCTTAGTTTCGCATATATTAGTTCCTCGTGTACCTTCACTATGAAGGACATTTCTCAACTTTAGAGGGAAGGAAATTCAAGCGTTGTGTATGATATTATTGTACTGAGGGTGAGAGTTTAACTCATATTAGGGCATTATAGACGAGTTTGAACAAAAGAGCTCAACAACTTATTTCTCAATGTGATCACTTACACTTAGACTTTTGGCGTGACCATGTACATGTAACCGTAGTTGTCTCAAATATGGTGGTCTCCTCACCACCACCTGTCACACTCACACCTTGTTGTCCGGCAGGACGGGGCGCCCAACATAGGCTCCTACACCCTCACACCGGCCGACTACGCTAACCGGAACAACTTGGACTTACTGGACCTGGAGATGGGACTCATCATGATCAACCTCACCACCCCCGAGCCCCAGTACGGCCTCAAGGAGTCCACGTGAGTCCCTCCATCTTTAGTGCGTTTGTGTGTATTTACCTATTTGTTTCTGACAGATTCAGACTCATCTTGGACTTTGCTTTTCGAATCATCGTTTGTCTGGTTCACTGACTCCCGACTTATTTTGTTCTATTATATAGGTTATATATTTTTCTATATCTTTCTCTCACACACACACACACATCCCCAGGATCTGTGTGTATATGTGCATGCATATACCAATTTGCTGTTTCCGGTTGATCACTGCTAGTGAAAAGGTTGCCGTTGACAAATAAATGGAAGGTATACTAAATAGGTTCTTTGTACTGAATTTACCAAAGGGGAAATTTATTTTAACCGGTAGTTAACCTGATCTATGAAGATGATGAAGAGGAAAATGTTTCTAGATTGGTGGTTTTCAGGTAGGGAGTTATTAAACGAGTCTGTAACATAAAGCTCAATGAATCTCTGGAATCAGACGCATGTTTAATACATCATTCAAGTTGAGCACAGTATGGGAATCGTGGGGGAAGGGGAGTGGAAGTGGTTGGCTGACTAAGGGAGATTCAAACTATTGACCAGCTTACCATCTATTGCTGGAAAATTATTTGAATTTTAGTCACAAAAGTCATTTGTATGTATCTTGAAAAACATAAATTAATAATGGATTCGCTGCATGACTTAACAAAAGGATTTTTTGTCCTTAGCATTGTTACTCTCATTCTTGACCAGCATATTGGAAGCAGTCGATAATGGAAGAGATTCTAACATATTTCTTGAATTTAGCAAAACTGTTAAGTGTAGGCATGGAGGGAAACACAGGTCTGGACAGCATGGTATTTATTTACAAGACAATGACGTCACCGAGTATAGGTGTCATGAATCTAAATATTATATACCTTATGTGGGGAAAATGACCTGTTAGATGGGGGGTAGAAATTGCCTGAGCTACTCTATCCCTTTGAGATGTATTTCTTTCTTGTCTCAATAAACATACTTGAACTTGAACTTGACCTGTGAGATTTATATTTATTTACTCTATATTAATTATATAGTAATTTATATTTTACGTTAATTTATATTTTTCAATGGCAAACTATGATGTTTAAAGTGAACTGTATGATTTAAAAATTCCCACAAATCGCTTTCTTACACATTCTGGGGGTTATGTTTATATATAGTCATCAATATAAATTATTGGCTAGTAGACATTCACTACAGTATTAGACTACATATGTTAGTAACTAAATGTGGAGGCCTTATCTGTATATAGTGGGCCTGGTCCACCAGTTATGAACAAGGATGATCACACCAAATAATCCTGGTGGGTGAGGCTAGTATAACCACCTGTTACTGGGGTGCCAGGTAGATGCTATTCTTCTTCCTCTTCAATTACATCCATCAAAGAGCACCTACAAATAATAGCAGTAACCTATATATGACAGCTATATCAGAGGAAATATTAGGCAATTTAAATAAAGAGATGAGACTATTGATCACCCTATTTTGTGTCTCAACTCGTGTTCTAACCAGTTCACCCTATATCTACCTAAATAGCCAGGAATGTAAAGATAATAAATGGGTTTCCGTAAGGACACCTCCCTGATTTCTAGACAAAGATCGTGTTGATAATGGGAGCATTTTACAACCTATAACACTGTTTTCCAAGGGAAAAATTATCGGAGCTAGATTTGCCCCAGCGAGACTTGTTAAATTAAACGGCGACTGACTGTGGCCTCCTTCCCACTGACTCATCCAGCGTCTTGCCCAGAAGTCAATAAGAAAGAGAAAGGCCTACATTTTCTCTATTTTGGTAGAGAAACTGATAATTAAGTTGGTTCAAGGGAAATGTTTTTATGATGTTTACAGTCCGGGCCTGAAGAATATGAGAGTGAGGATAACAGACAAGATGATACCAGGCCGTATCAAGCAGTAATGAACAGATATAAACGGCGAAATATTCACAGACAGCGAGACAGTGACAGTAAAGATGAAATAACAAAGAGACCAAAAAATGAAACCCTACTCAGCAGGACGCAAGAGAAGCAGATTAATAGAAGGAAGAGGCTGTTATTCCCTACAACGTGTCAACTGAACATTCATCAAAAGCTGGAGTGGACGGTTCGTCTGGTTAAGGAGTTTTTTTTAATATGAACCACTCTTCAAGGAGGGTGCTCACCGGTCCTACATAATATTTGGGACAGAAGAGGCCGTGAAACACCTAACGACGGATGGGTTTGAAAATATTGTGATGGTTACTCCAGAAGGTATGATGCACACCAAGGTCATGTTTTTAAGTATCTAACTTATTTGGATCCTGATTATCTTCTTCTCAACAATGATAGTGTTGTTTAGGCAAATAGGAACAGTGTTCGTGGTGACAAACAAAGCCAGGTTGTTGCCTTGGTAAAGGGTGAGGCGCCGGAAAGAATTTTTGTGCAAGGACTAGGCTACAGGAAAGTTGCAAAATACATTGAGGAGCCCATATTATGCATGAAGTGTTCTCGTTGGGGACATATGACTTGGAAATGCCAGTTTGACCCCAGGTGTCGGTACTGTGGTAAGAAACACGACTCTCGAGAGTGTAGAGTCAAGATTAAAAACGGTGAAAAAATCGTCCCATCTTGTTGCAATTGTCGAGGCAGCCACAATGCTGGTTCCTATCTATGCCTCACGAAGCCTCATCTGAGAGACTCCAGGACGGGTCCTACAAGCAGGATAGATGTATCCTCGAAGGAAGGAAAGATTGTGCAGCAGGAACATGGAGGAAACAGCTGGAAGCCAATGACAGCGCCTATGAACAATGTGTGGGAGAAAGGAACGGAGACAATTAAGGCGAGCCTAGGGAAAGTAGGAAATGCAGCTGAAAAAATTAAACGTTGTGGAGACAAGGTTCAGGACAATATAGTGAACTCGGAGATTGGTACTCAAATATTGGAATATCTAAAAAAAAAAATAGACAAGAGTGTGACGGACAGGGCAAAGGTAGTTTTATTATTAATCATGGATGAAAGTAGAGTGAGGATAGGAACGTTAATGGGTTAAAATCTAGTGCTGTGGATGTACACTATTATACTCTTAGAGAGTACTATATTAACCTGCAATGTTAAATGGGATTCTTGTATTGTGATTTGTGTATCTGTACTCACTGAATTTGTGCGCCCCTTGAGGGACTTGAAATAGAGGGGGTGTAGAAATAGCCTAAGCTACTCTATTCCTTTGAGATGTATTTTTTCTAGTCTCAATAAACATACTTGAACTTGTCTAATCACGTTGAGATGATTAGTCAACGTCTAATCTCAATGTTTAGACGTTTACCTTTACAGAGGCCTCGTTACAGGAGGTGTTTATGTAGTTACAGAGACCTTGTTATAGGATGTGTTTATTGGTGTTTACGGAGAACCTATTACAGAACATGTTTATTAGTGTTAAAAAGGTTGGTGGTACTGCAGTACGTGGCTGATGTGGAGTGTTTCAGGACTGTGTGGTCGCGTCCCATCCCTCTGGCCTGGTACTTCCATTTCCAGTGGGAGCAGCTGTACGGCACCAACTGGCAGCTGGCCATGTGTGACAGGTGGATCGAGAATGACCGCAACCTCAGGAACTTTGCTTATGAGGCGAGTCAGATAACCCAGTTTGTAGTCAAATAGAATATTAGTATCGTGTTCAGAGTCACACCAAATCTGATTTTGAAAATACGAGCCCGCCAGACATACGATGTTTATTGGTGAATATACATATAAATTAATGTCTTTTGAGAAAGTGAGCAGTGCAAGTTGTGTGGGACTGTTTCACGTGTGTCTCCCTAACCCTCCTTGTCTCCTTGGTCACCAGGTGGAGCGGTGCCCGTGCCTCCTGAAGCAGGCCGTCGCCGATAAAGGAAGGTTCCTGCCCGACTTCTCCTGCGACCGAAATGGCAACACTGAGTGCGAGTACCACTTTGGAGCCATCCACTGTGTCCGCACCGCCCTCCCCAAGTATGTCCCTCCCCACACACCCTCCCCAAGTATGTCCCTCCCCACACACCCTCCCCAAGTATGTCCCTCCCCACACACCCTCCCCAAGTATGTCCCTCCCCACACACCTCCCCAAGTATGTCCCTCCCCACACACCTCCCCAAGTATGTCCCTCCCCACATACCCTCCCCAAGTATGTCCCTCCCCACACACCCCTCCCCACACACCCTCCCCAAGTATGTCCCTCCCCACACATCTCCCCAAGTATGTCCCTCCCCAAGTATGTCCCTCCCCACACACCTCCCCAAGTATGTCCCTCCCCACTTACCCTCCCCAAGTATGTCCCTACCCACATACCCTCCCCTAGTATGTCCCTACCCACATACCCTCCCCAAGTATGTCCCTCCCCAAGTATGTCCCTCCCCACACACCTCCCCAAGTATGTCCCTCCCAAGTATGTCACATACCTCCCCAAGTATGTCCCTCCCCACATACCCTCCCCAAGTATGTATGTCCCTCCCCACACACCCTCCCCAAGTATGTCCCTACCCACACACCCTCCCCAAGTATGTCCCTACCCACACAGTATGTCCCTCCCCAAGTATGTCCCTACCCACACACCCTCCCCAAGTATGTCCCTACCCACACACCCTCCCCAAGATGTCCCTACCCACACACCCTCCCCAAGTATGTCCCTACCCACACACCCTCCCCAAGTATGTCCCTACCCACACACCCTCCCCACCCTCCCCAATGTCCCTACCCACACACCCTCCCCAAGTATGTCCCTACCCACATACCCTCCCCAAGTATGTCCCTACCCACATACCCTCCCCAAGTATGTCCCTACCCACACCCTCCCCAAGTGTGTCCCTCCCCACAGTATGTCCCTCCCCACATACCCTCCCCACCCTACCACACCCTCCCCAAGTATGTCCCCCCCACACACCCTCCCCACACATCCCCACACACCTCCCCAAGTATGTCCCTCCCCACATAGTATGTCCCTACCCACACACCCTCCCCAAGTATGTCCCTCCCCACATACCCTCCCCAAGTATGTCCCTCCCCACACACCCTCCCCAAGTATGTCCCTACCCACACACCCTCCCCAAGTATGTCCCTCCCCACATACCCTCCCCAAGTATGTCCCTACCCACACACCCTCCCCAAGTATGTCCCTACCCACACACCCTCCCCAAGTATGTCCCTCCCCACACACCCTCCCCAAGTATGTCCCTCCCCACACACCCTCCCCAAGTATGTCCCTACCCACATACCCTCCCCAAGTATGTCCCTACCCACATACCCTCCCCAAGTATGTCCCTACCCACACACCCTCCCCAAGTATGTCCCTACCCACATGCTCTCCCCAAGTATGTCTCTCCCCACATACCCATCCCAGTGTACCATAATATATGGAAAAACTGCTTTAAACGTCAGAGTCAACATTGACGTCAGAGTCAATGTTGACTCGACATTGCCATGTCAATAAAATCTTGTCTAACTTAATAAGTAAAAAACTAAATTCAAGTTTCGGAAATATGTGTAGACTTAGAATTGAGTCAGTCTGTCATAAAAGAATTAAGTGTTGCAGACGAGGAGTCACAATAACGTGGCTGAAATATGTTGACCAAACCACACACTGGAAAGTGAAGAGACGGCGACGTTTCGGTCCGTCCTGGAGCATTCTCCAGCGACTTGAGAATGGTCCAGGACGGACCGAAACGTCGTCGTCCCTTCACTTTCTTGTGTGAGGTTTAGTCAACAGTTAAGTGTTCCTGATTCATATCACAAAGTTAAGAGCTAATTCCTTACACTTGAGAGGAGTGGAAATGATGGCAGCTTTGGTGTGTGTGTCCCGCAGTAAGGACGGGGCCGGCCAGCAGTGCTGTTATGACCGCGACGGCTACTTGATGATGACCGCTGACAAGATGTGGGGCGGCAACCCCCACAGAGCCCACAACCTGGGCAAGACGCCCTACGACGAGGCAAACAAGGTAGGTATTATTTTGTGTTATCACATACCTGCCCCAAACGTTATGCCTGCTAGTGGCTTTACAACAATGTAAGAACTCTTGTATATATTTATATCAATAATTTTTTTTATATTATTATGGCACTTCTTTGGGTTTTACAGTTCATCGTAGTTCATTACATCTCATCGTAGGGCACAATATTTTCTTCTGCTGTCTCTCATATGGTTCAAGTATTGTCTACAATGACATGAATATTCTCTGAAATTTCAAATCAATAGCTTTTTCCTTATCAAACTACTACTAAACAACTTTATGTCATGTTGACCTTTTAGTTGATACCAGCGCCTCTCACTGCTTTTGTCTCCGCGGGCAGGTGCCGAGTCTTTCTCACTGGTACCACGACGTGATACCTTTCTACACGTGCTGCAAGTGGCAGGGAGAGCAGTCCCCTGGCTGCATCACCTACAGGTTTGAACGTCGCTGCTCCCAGGACTGTGTCGGCTACCAACCACCCACTGCTGGTGAGCTTCTTGTCTCTCAAACTCCCCTTCCTCCGCCCAACCACTCTCCTTCTTTATTATCGTTTATACTCGTATCTGTATATTTGCTCACTTAAATATCTCCCGGACCCTCTCTTTCTCCCTCCAAGCAACGGTATTTGGAGACCCTCACCTCTACACCTTCGATGACCTGCCCTACACGTTCAACGGGAAGGGGGAGTTCGTGTTGGTGCGTGTCGACTCGGTGCGCCACGTCCTCGACGTTCAGGGACGCTTTGAGCAGATTACCCAGAACTATCTGGGCGAAGCCAAAGGCTCCACGCTAACTGCTGTAGCAGGTGCGTGTGTGTGTGTGTGTGCGTTTTTAAGTGTGTTGGCGTCTATGTAAACTTGTGTGGGGTATTCCAGGTTCTAGCTAGTTTCCCTCAGGTGCTCCTGACACCTGTGGGAAATAACTAAGACCTTAGTGAAAAACTAAGACCATGTCGTGCCCACAGCCCGCGACAACGTGTCGTCGGTGGTGGAGGTGCGGCGGCGACCGTCTGATGCCATGTGGCGCTACCATCTGGACGTGATCGTCAATGGACAGAGGGTCTACTTCGACAGGTACTCGCAGAAGATTCAACAATTTCGAGGTTCGTACCACCACCTTGCTAAACCCCATGCTCAGCATTCACGTTTTATAAATATACATCAGATTATCCGTATGGAACATCTCTTTGGTCATTGTTAACTAGATTTGAGTAAAGGTTCCCCAATGTCAAGTCAGAAAATCTGGTAGGGATGTCGAGGTCCCCTCCCCTAGGAAATGCGAAGAAACCTCACGGTCAACAATATTATGGAACAATGGAACAAATTACCTTCCAGCGATGTAAACACAAACTAATGTACAGTGAGGTAAATAGGATCGGGGGGGGGGGGGTAGAAATAGCCTAAGCTATTCTATCCCTTTGAGATGTATTTTCTTGTCTCAATAAACATACTTGAACTTGAGGTAAATAGGGGTGTTAAGTGTGTGATCCCGAGAAAGGCAAGATTGCTTGCCTTCCTCGTTATTGGGTTAGTAAGCTGTTGGGTCTGGCTAGTAACTAGTTGGGTCATGTTAATAAGGAAACTTCATCTCAAGTTCCTATTGCGTCTTTCTCCCTCCAGGTTTTGACTCATGTATACAAGCCAAATCTCCTGTTTAAAATTATCCCTGGATCTCAGGAAAATAATCATGTCCATCACCACTACGATATTACAAGTTTCTTCTTTGCAAATCAGTTAAAAATATTTAAAATAGAAACAAAAATATAAAAAATAAATACATATTTCCTGAGATATACAGAATATTAAGTTAATTTATTTTTGATATTGATACGAGTTCCAGAAATCTGGATAAAGAGGTACACCTGAATGTTACGTTTTATTTTACCTGAGGGTTACCGTCTCTAGTGGGCTTGACGAGAACTGTGGCCATCTCCACTGTCTTGAGATATTCTCTCTGGTACTACTCTCCACCAGAGTGAAATCGCCTTAAGCAGTTAGGCGATTTCATTGGATCATTACCCTATAGGTGAACAAACATCTCTTCTTTTCCATCCATCTTGTAAAATTCTGCGAAAACTTTAAAATATTTAAGGATTAATAAAGAAAAATTAGAAGTGGTCTATCTTAATATTTTTAATAATGATTGTTTAATACATTACAGCCATATGCTCCAAAATTCTGGTAATTAATGATTTTTATATAATAAAGCTTCATTTTATTAGGTAATAATAGCCAAAGCTATATTTTACGGATTATGAAGCAAACCCCCATTTTCTTCCATTTTCATGATAGAAAACGTGATGGGACGCAAGCCATGGTCACCCTAACTAAACCAATATAATTTGTCACCATTAAAGGCATCAATTTGGTACATTTTCGCAAAGCCAGTAGCAAGCATAACGTTTTGGAGGGAACCTTGTGGAGACAACACACTTAAATGTGTCAGGAATTGGACAAATGATTGAATACACCCCAGTGATATACATGGCATTATAATATAGACATCGATACTCATTTAGGAGCCGGAAACACTGAGCCCGGGTCATTCTTGGTGTACACCCCCAGCAACATTGTCATGTGTGATGTACTCTCCCCCAGAGTGCGTGGTGTACACCCCCAGCAACATTGTCATGTGTGATGTACTCTCCCCCAGAGTGCGTGGTGTACACCCCCAGCAACATTGTCATGTGTGATGTACTCTCCCCCAGAGTGCGTGGTGTACACCCCCAGCAACATTGTCATGTGTGATGTACTCTCCCCCAGAGTGCGTGGTGTACACCCCAGCAGCAACATTGTCATGTGTGATGTACTCTCCCCCAGAGTGCGTGGTGTACACCCCCAGCAACATTGTCATGTGTGATGTACTCTCCCCCAGAGTGCGTGGTGTACACCGCCAGCAACATTGTCATGTGTGATGTACTCTCCCCCAGAGTGCGTGGTGTACACCGCCAGCAACATTGTCATGTGTGATGTACTCTCCCCCAGAGTGAGTGGTGTACACCGCCAGCAACATTGTAAATAAAAATAAAAATAAATAAATGTTTATTTAGGTAAGGTACATACATACAAGAGATTTTGCAAAGAGTGATGGATTTATAGACAGAGCTAGTACATACAATGCCTAAAGCCACTATTACGCAAAGTGTTTCGGGCATGAAAAACTTAAATGACTAAAGCTAAATACTAATTGAGTATAAAGAATAAAATGTGTTGAGAACAAATAAAAATAGAGATAAAAAAGGGGGAACATGGCTGAAAAAGCAGCACAAATACAATTAGGCCGACAAACAGCGTTGTTTAAAAAAAAAACAGACATGGGTTGACAATAGAGGGGTAAGGTAGGTTACAGGGAATTTATTAGGTAGTGCTTCGTTTTTATCTTAAACTGGTTGAGAGAAGTACAGTCTTTAACATGGTTGGGAAGGCCATTCCACATTCTGGGTCCCTTGATTTGTAGAGCATTTCTAGTTTGATTAAGTCGTACTCTTGGAATATCAAAACTGTATTTATTTCTGGTGTGGTTCTCATGGGTTCTGTTACAACCTTCAATGAAGCTTTTGAGGTCAGGATTGGCATTACAGTTCAGCGTTTTATATATGTATAATACACATGAGAGAATGTGCAGTGACTTAATATCTAACATATTCAGAGATTTGAGTAGGGGTACCGAGTGATGTCTGGGGCCAGAGTTGGATATTGTCCTAATAGCAGCTTTGTGTTGAGTAATTAGAGGACGTAAATGATTTTGGGTAGAACCCCAAGCACAAATACCATAGTTGAGATATGGATAGATGAGGGAGTAATAGAGTGTCACCAGGCCAGGGCAGGGTACATAATATCTGATCTTAGAAAGAATGCCAACAGTTTTTGAAACTTTTTTGATATATTTAGAATGTGTCCCTGGAAATTCCGCTTGTGGTCAATGAGAACGCCAAGGAATTTGCCATCTAATTTGTTATAAATTTGGGTATTGTTTATTTTGAGATTTATTTGATTAGAGGATTTATAAAATTTAAAAATAGAGGATTTATAAAATTAGAGGATTTGTCATGTGTGATGTACTCTCCCCCAGAGTGCGTGGTGTACACCCCCAGCAACATACTCAACCAGAGCCACGTGATCATAATGTTCTCCTCTGGGGCCGGGGTGGAGGTGGTGGAGAACCTGGGCTTCCTGGCCGCCAGAATATACCTCCCGCTCTCCTTCGCGGTGAGTCCTGCTACAGTCTACCACTACCACACAAAACACAACTTTGAAATAGAACGATAGATATAGACAATGAAATAACATACTTTCGGATTCACTATTGTAATATATGAATATATATATGTTGATTGATATGGTATATACATATATATACGTACCTAACCTAACCCAAATTAACCTAACCCAAACTAACCTAACTCAACCTAACCTAACCTAACCTAACCTAACGCAACCCAACTCAACCCAAACAAACCTAACAACCTAACCGAGCCTAACACAGCCTAATCTGGGCTAATGTATCCTTACCTAACAGTATATCAACCCATCCTCCTAAAATGAAAGTACTTATAGTAACGATGTAGTCGATAGTACAAATATGTTGTGATGGACCAATAGAAAGTAGATTTGTATTATTGAATTTGGACAAACCGGAAAGTTTTTATATTTATATTCGTAATAAAACCTACCCTAACCATCCTAAGCCTAATAGATGCTAGTGCAGGCCTAATATAATACATATTTTTGCTATACTAGGGTTAGGAATATTCAAGTACTAGGAATATTCCTAGTATATTCCTAGTATTCTTGAATATACTAATATTCAAGAATATTCCTAACTAGGGTTAGGAATATTAAAGAATATTCTTTTTTAACTATATTTTCCGGACTCTATAAAAAAATAGTACAACAGAGGTTTACTGGAGCTCCATTACTGCATATTGATACGATCGACTACAGTTACAATAAGTACTATCATCTCAGGAGGATGAGTTGCGATATATACAGTTTTGACAACCAGAAAACGAGCTTTGTTAAGCCATCTTGAGTAGGATTTGACCACCTTCCACCCTCATAGATCGCGCCTCACCCTTCATATTCCTCTCTCTGGCAGAACATCACTCGGGGACTCTTCGGGAACTGGACGTTTGATCCTGACGATGACTTCACACTCCCGGACGGGTCGCAGGGCCCCACGGCCGACATCAACAACCTGGAGCTCATTCACAAGGAGTTCGGCATGAAATGTGAGTTGCTTCACCTCAAAGGTCTGAGGTATATTTAAGGGGCGTCACCACATGCGCGTAGCCTCTCCCAATAACCAGACAAATTATCAAAATATAGTTATTGTGAATATCGTTAAAATATGCAGAGCTATCTATTATTATATGAAGCTTTAGTGTCATAATCCCTTCTCGCAGAAATGTTCCTCTTATGTTAATATACATCACCACAACATGCAACATAACCTTCATAACCCACAACGTGGCCGCTACAACACACTACTGCTGCCACACATTACAATATTTGTGTGTGCTACAGGGGTGCTGGACGACAAGGAGGACCCAAATGTAGGCAAGAGTCTCTTCTACCACGAGAGCTCTCGCTCCAGCAACTACTACTTCGACCCAGACTTCGTACCCGAATGGAAAGCAGTCCCTGATTTGTCACCTAACGCGTAAGTGAAGAGTATATGTCCGTTGACCCTACACCCGGTGTTTTCGTCACTCTACACCACACATGCTCTAAGTGTGTCCATATTAACAACTCTCTCACATACAGAAAGTTTTCACCTGAGCTAAATATATATCTACCATTCTTTGCTATAAGTAATACACCGCTTCTAGTATTATTATTTAACATATAAATATAATCAATACATATGTATTCTTTCTTATACATATGACTCTTATATTCAATTTGCTGACTAGAAACTTGCCAAGTATGGAACATATTTAATCTGTAGCTATCCCATACTTGCAGCAAAAGTATTGTTCACATTTTCAATTATTTATGTAATTCCACAATAAGACTTTTAAAAGATGTCAATATCAGAATGAGGGTGATTGGAAAAAGGGCTTAAAGTGTTTGATAAGATTTTAGCGTTGCGTCGCTGATAAATTTGTGCATTTGTCGTCAAGGTGTTCTAGAGAGTATAGTGTTCATAGTCAGCAAGTGAGTGACCTGGTGTGTGTGTTTGTGTGCAGGACAACACCCATGCAGGAGATCAAGCAGGTGTGTGGCGACTCCTACCAGTGCTACTACGACTACGTCGTCTCTCTCAGGAGGGACTTCGCCGTCATGACCAAGTACTACCAGGACCAGTTCGTCAATATCAAGGGCGAGGGACTTATGTCATGTGAGTACTCATCACTATTGTAGCAGTGCCTCGTGACAGTGTCAGACCACGAAGGAAGCATTAAGATAGGAATTTCCTTAAGTACTTTCGTATTTAATAATACATCTTGAAACGGATTGAACCTTCTGAAGATGTATTAGTAAATACTAAAAGTACTCGGCCCGTGCGCAAAAAGGTTGAGCTATGTGGGCCGACCCTGGCCCATCTAAGATAGTCCTTGCTCTAGTATATGTATATTTTCTATGGTGGCTGTGAGTGATGAAATTCTAGGAACTCTAATTTTATGAGGGTCGCCATGGGAGTCGACGACTCCACCCGTCCTTCAGTGGAGGCAATGGGGCCAGCTCTGACTCCTCTATGTTGCTCATCCCTCTCCCTTTCTCTCATCAGTCACCCTGCAATGCTGGGTGAGGCTAGCCCTAAGCGTATATATATATATATATCCAATATATATATATATATTTATATATATATATTAATTCTGGATATATATATATATATATATATATATATATATATATATATATATATATATATATATATATAAGTATATATATATATGTATATACATATATACACGGGGTATATACAATAATACAAATTATTATTTGATTAATGTATAATGCTAATTATTGTATTATTATTGTATAATGCTTAATAAAGAGCACTATAGACTATAATTGTATAGTGCTAATAATGATACTTCAGATAATGATGGCAACACTGCAGGTGTTGCTGGTAATGATTAGTGATTATTATGATGTTAGTAATGATTAGTGATTATTAAGATGCTGATAATGATTAGTGATTATTAAGATGCTGATTATTATTATTATTATTATTGGGACTTCTTATTATTAAGTTACATAGTGAGCACATATGTAATCCACCACATACAAATCTAGCAACTTGATTACATCACTCCATGCCTTTGAGAGGTTCTTAAGAATGTAGCTCTGTATAATAGGAGTACCTGTATTATACTGTAATGAAAGATTATATATCGTTATGCAGTTGTTTAATATTTATAATTAATTTATATAAAGTACATACTGTACATTTGATACATGATACAGTGAAGAATTCGTTAGTAATATACTCCATTTATAGCCACTAATATACAGAGTATTGAAGCGTGCCTCTTGGGCAGTTCTTTGGAAATAACCCCTAGCTTGTATTTTTTTTTTCATCATGCTTGATTTATTGATTTAAGTATTCCTTTAGTAAACCATGTGTTGTTAATATTTGTGGGTGTGACTTTAGTTAGCATTGGACAATGGACAGTGGGTATTATAGAGGCTTAGAGTTTTGTGAAGAAATAGTTGTGCACCTGCGTTCATGGTTGTCATATTTCCCAAGTCAGTCTCCTAGTTTATGTGTCCAGCCCCGGCAACAGCATTGCTTATGGTAGCTTCATTATGTAGTCTGGAGCATAATCATTTTTAGCGGTGGTTTACTATTAATGCAAGTTAGAAGAAATATAGGGCAGTAGTCAGTTGTACCATCAGTGATTATTCCAGAGGTCTGTGGACAGGTTATGCGTGTCCAAATGTGGTCAAAGGTAGAGAAAGTTGTTTGAGTGATTCTGGTGGGCTTAGTGATCATTGGTAATAAATCCATTTGTCCCCGCTAGTGATCTCATGCGGAGCGCTGCCAACGCCTCCCAATGGCCGCAAGTCAACCTTCAACTTCTTGAGCGGCGCTGAGGTGAAGTTCGACTGTGACCCCGGGTACGTGTTGCTGGGGGAGCAGCGTCGCTGGTGTTACTCCTCTGGGGACTGGAACTGGCCAGAACATGGCGAGGCTACTTGTGTCAGTAAGTACCTTTACTTCTACATTATCTACCCCCACACAGTAACCCCTGTATGCTTAATTCTTCACCTGAGTGAAGGCCAAGTGAAATATTGATGTATTCAGTGATAGGGTTGAACTGTGAACCTAAGCCAGTATTGGTGAGTATACGGTTAATTTAACATTGGCTGGAGTTGTCCGCGCCCGTAGCCTCCTTCACCACCATACTTCACCAGCCACTGCTACCCTCATCCTTCACCCACTGCCTCGCGTATCTCTTGTTTATTCGTTAGTAATCTTGTGCATGGACTGGGTCTGCAGCTGTCGCATTGGACGCCTATATGTCTACGATAATTTGTTTAATAGCACGCGAACTATGTAACTAATAACACGACACATAGTTAATATAAGTACCAGAACAAACTGATGTGTAGGTGTGTTTGTGGCGTGGCGAGATGGGCGTGCGAGGGGCGGCGCGGGCGCGGACAGGCTTGATGACAACTGACGGAGTCTCCCTCCTGCAGCTGAGCGTGAGTATCTGATGATGCAGCAAGGGATCACCGCTGGCACCGTCCTGGCTGTCCTCCTCCCAGTACTCATCGCCATCATGTGCTTCGCATCCTACCGACGCTCCAAGGATCACTTCGTCGCCTCTGTCAACTTGAAATCGCCGCACGCCGCCTCTCGCCCCGCTCCTCGCACAGCCCCTCGCCCGGTCATATCGCCCCCTATCCTCACCAAGGGCCCCAACTACTCTCCCGTCTCACGCACTCACGACCTAATTATTTGGAAGTCGGGTCCATCTGAACAGAAGCTCCTGAGTGAGGCTCCCCTTGGCAGGGCTGACGACAGCAGCACTACGGAGAGCTTAGAGTACTCCTCCATGTCCTCTGCCAGCGAGTCCAGCAGCTTCACTTATTCAAACCCATATAGTGGCCTCGATCCCATAGGGTGCAGACCCATGAAAATCCCGAAGCATTTTGATGGGGATTACGACACCCATGAACCCGTGGATAGCAAACCGGTCATTTTTCACAATATTTTGTGGGACCTGGACGATAGCCCGTCCAAGGAGTCAAGTGTGTAGCTTCTCCACGACCACCACTTGTGTCAGCGTGTCGTTAATATTACACGTTATACTCCAAATAAATATGTGACTGCCCATAGCATAAAAGATCAAATCATTCAATATGAATAGTCTATTTAAGGCGTTATATTATATTGCTCAATGAAGAACCTGGCAACCATATTTAAGTTTTGTGAATACTTGCATCTTCACTGTTTATTATTTCGCGGTTATGTACTATTTGTAATAACCAATTCACCATTGCTTGTATATACTGTATTCTCTCGTGTATTATTTACAAATATTTTCAATAAATTTGCATACAACAATGTTATTTAAATAAGTCAAGCGCGAACACCAGCGAAATTTCACGTGACTCTTCATAGTTATCTTACCTTCATGTACCTGTAAGTTCAACTCCCTCTGTCCCCATGACACTTGTTGTACACTGCCAGACGCCAATAGCAGCGTCTGGTTCAGAGATGTGTACACATCAGTAGCAGCGTCTGGTTCAGAGATATGTACACATCAGTAGCAGCGTCTGGTTCAGAGGTGTGTACACATCAGTAGCAGCGTCTGGTTCAGAGATATGTACACATCAGTAGCAGCGTCTGGTTCAGAGATGTGTACACATCAGTAGCAGCGTCTGGTTCAGAGATGTGTACACATCAGTAGCAGCGTCTGGTTCAGAGATGTGTACACATCAGTAGCAGCGTCTGGTTCAGAGATGTGTACACATCAGTAGCAGCGTCTGGTTCAGAGATGTGTACACACCAGTAGCAACGTCTGGTTCAGAGATGTGTACACATCAGTAGCAGCGTCTGGTTCAGAGATGTGTACACACCAGTAGCAGCGTCTGGTTCAGAGATGTGTACACACCAGTAGCAGCGTCTGGTTCAGAGATGTGTACACACCAGTAGCAGCGTCTGGTTCAGAGATGTGTACACACCAGTAGGATCTGGTTCCGTCGCTGATACTGTCATATCCACAATCATTAACTAAGACAAGTGTTCATTATCCACACCATTCCTGAACAAGTTCTCAGAGGGCGCTGCACGTAATAATAATAACCATAATAATAATAATAATAATAATAATAATAATAATAATAATAATAATAATAATAATAATAATTGTAAGAAGGTACAATGAGTTTGTGAGACTACGTAAGACTAATATTTTTACATTCATGCAAAGCCACATAGCCTAGCGTGTCGGGCAGGTCCTTAATCTAACATATCAGGTAAGATGAAAAGGTACATTGTAGCAAGGTTTTAATCAATAAACAACTACAATATAAGTTGACAGAGGTGATTACACTGGTAAGGATATATGTCTTTAGTACTAATATTGGGAAGTAGGTAGTACAAGATGCAGTGTGAGTTTGAAGCGCAAGGTAGGAAACTATGGGGATGAAAGTAGGTACTTTTTGGTTTTACTTTTGAATAAGGTATAGGTTAGGAATTTTTTTAATTCATCAGGGAGTGAGTTCCAAAGACTGGGCCCTATTATTTGCGTTGAATGTTTGCACAGATTTAGTCTGACTCTAGGAATATCACAGTGATATTTGTGTGTTGATATGGCTCGCTTTCCCAAAAGGCGAGGGACATATATAGAGCTTCCTTGATTACTGGATGAACTCCTTGCGCAAATGAAAATTAAATATTAATATTTTTAAAGACCATGTTCAACACAACTATTTCCATAAAATAGACTTTAAAGGCAAAATCTTAGGAAATATTAGCTGTGTAACTGCTGCCTAGCATTTGTGTCCCAAAATCTTCATATTCATGTAGATATAAATGTATAAGATTTATATAAAATAAAAACATAAAAGCTCAAATAATTAATAAAATTATTCCTGTAGCGTAGCAAATTGTATTCCTGTTACAGTGACTTATGTCAACGTAGTGTAATGTTGCTCTCGGTGATATAGTGATGCTCCCGGACGCAGGTTCGAATCCTCGTCACGGCCCTTGTGGATTTGTTCAACGTAGTGTGATAACAGAGGGGCCAGACAGTAACTGGATGGGTGAGCATGCTGACAGCCTCTCACTTAAAGGAGAGGGAGGGGGACCTAACATACCTCCTCTCCCCGATATGTGTATACCGGAGTACCGTATATTATCATGCCAACATTCTAATAAGCTTCAAGCCTAATAGTTGTCATTGTCTCCCCCAAGGCGAGAGCGAGGCTGTTCACTAGGCCACACACACTTTCTAATTTTCAATACTAATTTGCCTCTTGTGCCTCCTACTCTCCCTCCTTAGTTTTCAACAGCTACTGTGCCAAATTTATTTGGAACCTCAATACCCATACATTTTTAAATTATACATATTCCCTTTTATTTACATGTAGGGAAAACTAATTTGACGAGTCTGATCAACGGCGTCGACTCCTCTTGATAATGGCGGATCAACAGGACAGTATACAGCAGCGGTTCTCTGTGTTGGTCCAAACTATTTGACTAATTATACAAAAAATCTTCCATAAACCATTAGATATGTATTCCTAGTACTCCCGTATCCAGTACAGTGCCTTTCCTGTTATCTCCTCCTGTCTCTCCACCTTGTGAGAAATTGTATCGAAAGCTTTTTGGCGATCTAGGAAGGTGTAATCTCCGTTCTTCCTTCTTTCGTCTCATTTGTTGACATAAAATTCACCCAAGTTTATTTGGCGTGATTTTTCCTCTCTGAAGTCGTGTTGTGCCTGTTATAAAACTACTCTCCCCAAATGTATTACAATCCTATTTTTCTGATGGCTTTTTCTAGAATCTTGCATAGAATGCATGTTAATGACACCGGTCAATAGTCTAGTGCTTCATGTCTATCCCTCTTAAACATTGGAACTACGGTTGCTTCTTCCCAGATTTACAGCTACTCTCATGTCTCTAATGTAATGTTGAACACTATAGTTAATGGGTAACAAGATCCCTGCAATTTCCTTCAGTAATCATTGTGATATTTGGTCTGGCCCTATTGATTTTACTGCATCCAGTTCCTCCTGATGTCTTTTTACCTCTTCTACATTAACGGTGTTTGAGTGCTCAGTTCGCCAAGAAAATGGAGGTCGGAACCATACTCGTTGTCAGCTGCTGACAACCAGCTATCTTCTTAAGAGTTCCAAAACGGATACCAACGAGGACTAAGGAAGGCTGTCGATCTAAAATACATAACTCTAACATGCTCGTGTCCGAAGCTAGACACAAATACAAGAAAATTATTAATGATGGTAACAGAGTCAATTTCATGTGGATTCCATCTCATGTTGGCCTCCGAATGCATGATAGAGCTGATAAGTTAGCCAAAGAATCTGCCTTTAAAGGAGTTGATTATATCCATGAATTGTCAATAAGCAGTCTGAGAGCAATGGCACACCAAGAACTTCAACAAAATCTTGTAAAGCTGAAGCAAAGTGAAATCAACATCAGTAATTCCATCTATCATATTATCTTGCAAGAGGAGCCACACATCTATGGATCATCCAGTAAAATCAGCACACTCGTAGATATTACTACTGCTCGGCATAGACTCGGTTACAAGTATCTCTGGGAATTTTCATTATCTGCTGATGTGGACTTGACTTAATGTAAACTGTGTTAGCAAAATTATTCCCACACCCTCCGTCACTATGTGATGGAGGGCGAAAAGATATATGAATTCAGAGTCAACTCTATAACAAATGTTCAAGAAATGTGTAAATTATTTCATTCAATGTTATCTCCTGTCAGAAATCTTAGCCAAATATCCCCAGTTTGCTAACTGTAGGCAGTAACTAAGTGATTGTAACCAATCCACCGCTGCCCACTGGATGGGGGGCGGTGTGCAGGACAAACGTATCAATTGTGACACTAGCTCTCCACATATATCAGTTGCTTAATTTAGAACCTGTACTTGTGGTCGATCCCGAACCCATTGTTGATGCAACAATATTAATTAAATTTTGTAACTAGCCCATCAAGACTAACTTTCTTACCTAATGAATTGTGGGGTTCAGTCGCTGAGCCCGTTATGTACCTCTGTAACCCTTTCCACTACCTCTCACACGATGGGTATGGGGTGCATAATAAATAAAGTAGGGTAAACGATCCAAAACGGTTGGGTCTGGGTGCGCCCTCAACGCCGACTTCAGTTGGCGGTGAAATTGTTCAACCAACTTGTTTGCCAGAGGAGGATAGGCTGCAGTGTGTTTGTGTGTAGTTCAGAGTTGAGCGTCCTGGAGGGTTTCTGGTGGAAACGCAGCTATTTTTTTTGGGGGGGGGAGAAAAGAGGATGGCGAGGCATAGGTGAAGGAAAGTTTGGAAGTGGGAAATACAGTGAGAGTTATGAAAGCAGGTGGGTTGTCCGCCATGCTGACTTAACGAAGCTATGGTGTCCATACTGCTCCCTGTCGCTGGTAGCGGACCTCTAGGTCAGCCAAACCGCATACGCCATTAGTTTTGCGTACCACCTATCTGGAAAAAGACCGGGTGTGGAATTAACTTCTGGCTTACAACTTTAGTGTCTAACACAACCACCAGAAAAGGGTTAAGCAAACGAATATCACCAGTCACACTAAGCACATTGAAGGTGAAGGAAAAAAACAATTAATATGTAAGTGTACTACTAAACCAAACTTTTGGGTGAAAACTACATCCTTTATCAAGGTGCCGTAAAGAGTGTTAAGTATATACAAGCAGAAAACGAGAGACAATGTTTTTACTTGCTCGGGGGAGCGGTGGTGGGGGGAGGGGGGATAATACTGCCATCTATCGTGAGTTTATCCACACAGCACCGCTCCTGTGCCACGTAAGTCCACTACGGGCTCACTATTACCAGTGCTACTTGCCCCGCTCCTGTGCCAGGTAAGTTACGGGCTCACAATAGCCTGTGGAACTATGCTACTTGGAACTTGTTCTGAGTAGCTGAATCTATAACAACAACGTGAGTTTGTCGTCTTACCTTTAGTAACGTCGTGTTGCGGCAGACGACACTTCAACAACACTTGAAGTACAAGATATAAAAAAAAAAAATTAAATTCACTCTGTTGCCCAATCTTGTCACACTGCTGTCCCTCCCTGTCTTCAACCTCAGCCACGCCAACCCAAAACACACACACGGGCCATTCACCCCGCATACGAACCACCCTCCCCAGACACACACACACACATACTGTAAACAAGTATGCGTGTTGTAGTGGGTGTATTACCACTTTTTTCCTCTCCTCGCTCAGCCGAGTCGGAGTACCTGTTGATGCAGGGCGGGATCACGGCGGGGACGGTGTTGTCGGTGCTGCTGCCCATCCTCATCGCTATGCTCTGCTACGCCTCCTACGTCCGCAACAAGGACAAGGAAATCTACCCCGAGAGCGACTTCATCCGCAATGGCAGCCGCAGGATCAACAGCTTCTTCAAGAGAGCCAGGTTAGTATGCGGGCGCTACTGGCCAGGTGTACTTCAGTAGAGCCAGGCAGGTATGTGGGCGCTACTGGCCAGGTGTACTTCAGTAAAGTCAGGCAGGTATGTAGGCGCTACTGGCCAGGTGTACTTCAGTAGAGCCAGGCAGGTATGTGGGCTCTAGTGGCCAGGTGTACTTCAGTAGAGCCAGGCAGGTATGTGGGCACTACTGGCCAGGTGTACTTCAGTAGAGCCAGGCAGGTATGTGGGCTCTAGTGGCCAGGTGTACTTCAGTAGAGCCAGGCAGGTATGTGGGCGCTACTGGCCAGGTGTACTTCAGTAGAGCCAGGCAGGTATGTGGGCTCTAGTGGCCAGGTGTACTTCGGTAGAGCCAGGCAGGTATGTTATCTACTGGCCAGGTGTACTTCAGTAAAGTCAGGCAGGTATGTGGGCCCTACTGGCCAGGTGTACTTCAGTAGAGCCAGGCAGGTATGTTATCTTGAGATGATTTCGGGTCTTAGCGTCCCCGCGGCCCGGTCCTCAACTAGGCCTCCTTTTTGTTACACACCCCCAGGAAGCAGCCCGTAGCAGCTCTCTAACTCCCAGGTACCTATTTACTGATAGGCGAAGAGGTGAATCAGGGTGAAAGAAACTCTGCCCATTTGTTTCCACTTCTGCCTGGGATCGAACCTGGAACTCTTAAGACTGCTAATCCCGAGCGCTGTCCACTCAGCCGTCAGGCCCTGTCTTTTTACATGGATGTGATGGACCAATAGAAAGTAGATTTGGATCCAAATTGTACAAACATTACTAATATTAATAATGTGTGGTTTTGTAATTTGTATTCAAGCAGATTTAATAATGTTTCTATTGAAAATGTTTTAATTATTTATTGTTTTAATTATTGAATGTTCCTTAATTCAAATTACAAAGCCATTCAATATGAATATTAGTAATTGTTTGTAGAACTTGGATCGATTGCTAATTGATCAATTCAAAAACTTTTTACGAGTTAATTAAAACAATTAAAAAACTATTAAACAAATTTTTAGTTTGTTAATCATCTTTTTAAGATGATAAGATGATTTTTAAATTATTCATTACGTGTTAATTTCTTCGTGATTCACACACACACACAGAACATTAATTAGAGTTTCTATTTCAAGGTTGTGTGTGTATAATGTAGGGTTAACTCCGTTATACTTTATAATGTGTGCCTATGGATTCCATTTGTTGTTTCATTGTTCAGTCAAGCTGAAGCCCCAATGGAATTCATTAGAAGTATGTGTAAACTATTCCGCCCAACTGCTGGGTAACTGTCACAACTATTTGTGGGTCCCTGTATATGCTTCATTTCCAGGAATTAATTTTAGTCACGTGTTGTGTAGCCAATGATGCAGAGATCGCAGGTACATTGGGGTAAACAGATCCAGATCTGTGTTAATGTGGTCAATTCTCAGCTGGGTTAGTCACTCACCTTCCCCACCTCTCTCTCTTTCCTTTGGCAGAACCGACAGTTCGCCGGAGCCTTCACGACCCGTGAAGCACTTAGGGGGCGGCGTGGCCAGCAGCGGCGGCACCTCCACGCCGGACACGCACCACAGTGATGACACCCAGGTCTAGAGTCCTTTACGACCCCCTCCTACCCCACCATGCGGGCTCAGGGCTCTTCCACAATTAGTAACATTAATATATAAATGAAGGCCAAGGTCTAATGGAGCATCACGATGTTTATTTTATAGTTAACACTGTCGCAGAGCACTTGGCGACACAGATGTGTCCAGCCTTCCCTGACGGCCGCAGTGTGTGGGACTGTATCACAGAGACCAATATCAGCTGTGTCATTAGGATACGTGACTGTCACAGAGACCAACAACAGCTGTGTCACTAGGATACGTGACTGTCACAGAGACCAACATCAGCTGTGTCACTAGGATACGTGACTGTGTCACAAACTAACTGCAGCTGCGATCCCTGGTTCTCTCACACCAAGACACACAATCCCAAGCTATGTCGCCGAAGAAAGAATGTCTCTTGACCCGAACACGTAAATAAAATCGTCCCTCGTTAATCGTAAAGCATTTGTTGATGCCACATTATACACTAAAAATCCCTTCCAGGTAATTACTACGTGATAATGAAAATATTATGATAGTTGACGCAATAATTGTCATATCTTGCACAAATTGAGATAGAGAAGTTGTAGTCTAACCGTCCAGCTGGGATGATGTGTTGTATGTTTAGCGTTACTTTTCATGTTGTAGGAATAAGTGGATTTTGTGTCAATAATTTTAGATTAGATTACCAGTTCTTTAAAAGTAAGACACGTTATATATATAATTTGAATCCATCGTTTGAGTGTTGTGTATTAAAAAGCACAAGTGCAGCTGTCTCAAATGTCTGCTCGCAGTCATTTAGTTTTTTTTTGTTAATTTGTTTTATTTACGTTTTAAGCATATGGAAATATAAGCAGAATTCATTATTTTATTTTATTTTCATATAAATGATTAAAATGCATGACATTAACTTACGTAGAGACCCACATAAGTTAATGTCTTCTGTGAAGCCTAATGTTAATAGACTTCTCTGGGTATTTCTGACCCTACTGATAATGTTATGTATACAGGATGTTAATTATATTCACTCCTCATATTACCCCATCTTACTGTATACCTTAGTCCCTGCTTTTATATATATCTTTATAATTAACTGTGCACCTTGTAACTTAACATTCACTGTGCACCTTGTAACTTAACATTCACTGTGCACCATGTAACTTGACATTCACTGTGCACCATGTAACTTAACATTCACTGTGCACCTTGTAACTTAACATTCACTGTGCACCGTGTAACTTAACATTCACTGTGCACCATGTAACTTAACATTCACTGTGCACCTTGTAACTTAACATTCACTGTGCACCGTGTAACTTAACATTCACTGTGCACCTTGTAACTTAACATTCACTGTGCACCTTTTAACTTAACATTCACTGTGCACCATGTAACTTAACATTCACTGTGCACCATGTAACTTAACATTCACTGTGCACCATGTAACTTAACATTCACTGTGCACCACGTAACTTAACATTCACTGTGCACCTTTTAACTTAACATTCACTGTGCACCTTTTAACTTAACATTCACTGTGCACCTTTTAACTTAACATTCACTGTGCACCATGTAACTTAACATTCACTGTGCACCATGTAACTTAACATTCACTGTGCACCACGTAACTTAACATTCACTGTGCACCTTTTAACTTAACATTCACTGTGCACCTTTTAACTTAACATTCACTGTGCACCTTTTAACTTAACATTCACTGTGCACCATGTAACTTAACATTCACTGTGCACCATGTAACTTAACATTCACTGTGCACCATGTAACTTAACATTCACTGTGCACCTTGTAACTTAACATTCACTGTGCACCTTTTAACTTAACATTCACTGTGCACCTTTTAACTTAACATTCACTGTGCACCTTTTAACTTAACATTCACTGTGCACCATGTAACTTGACATTCACTGTGCACCATGTAACTTAACATTCACTGTGCACCTTGTAACTTAACATTCACTGTGCACCGTGTAACTTAACATTCACTGTGCACCATGTAACTTAACATTCACTGTGCACCTTGTAACTTAACATTCACTGTGCACCGTGTAACTTAACATTCACTGTGCACCTTGTAACTTAACATTCACTGTGCACCTTTTAACTTAACATTCACTGTGCACCATGTAACTTAACATTCACTGTGCACCATGTAACTTAACATTCACTGTGCACCATGTAACTTAACATTCACTGTGCACCACGTAACTTAACATTCACTGTGCACCTTTTAACTTAACATTCACTGTGCACCTTTTAACTTAACATTCACTGTGCACCTTTTAACTTAACATTCACTGTGCACCATGTAACTTAACATTCACTGTGCACCATGTAACTTAACATTCACTGTGCACCACGTAACTTAACATTCACTGTGCACCTTTTAACTTAACATTCACTGTGCACCTTTTAACTTAACATTCACTGTGCACCTTTTAACTTAACATTCACTGTGCACCATGTAACTTAACATTCACTGTGCACCATGTAACTTAACATTCACTGTGCACCATGTAACTTAACATTCACTGTGCACCTTGTAACTTAACATTCACTGTGCACCTTTTAACTTAACATTCACTGTGCACCTTTTAACTTAACATTCACTGTGCACCTTTTAACTTAACATTCACTGTGCACCATGTAACTTAACATTCACTGTGCACCATGTAACTTAACATTCACTGTGCACCTTTTAACTTAACATTCACTGTGCACCATGTAACTTAACATTCACTGTGCACCTTGTAACTTAACATTCACTGTGCACCTTTTAACTTAACATTCACTGTGCACCTTTTAACTTAACATTCACTGTGCACCTTTTAACTTAACATTCACTGTGCACCATGTAACTTAACATTCACTGTGCACCACGTAACTTAACATTCACTGTGCACCTTTTAACTTAACATTCACTGTGCACCTTGTAACTTAACATTCACTGTGCACCATGTAACTTAACATTCACTGTGCACCTTGTAACTTAACATTCACTGTTCACCTTGTAACTTAACATTCACTGTGCACGGTGTAACTTAACATTCACTGTGCACCGTGTAACTTAACATTCACTGTGCACCATGTAACTTAACATTCACTGTGCACCTTGTAACTTGACATTCACTGTGCACCATGTAACTTAACATTCACTGTGCACCTTGTAACTTGACATTTACTGTGCACCATGTAACTTAACATTCACTGTGCACCTTGTAACTCAACATTCACTGTGCACCATGTAACTTAACATTCACTGTGCACCATGTAACTTAACATTCAGTGTGCACCTTGTAACTTAACATTCAGTGTGCACCGTGTAACTTAACATTCACTGTGCACCGTGTAACTTAACATTCAGTGTGCACCTTGTAACTTAACATTCAGTGTGCACCTTGTAACTCAACATTCACTGTGCACCGTGTAACTTAACATTCAGTGTGCACCTTGTAACTTAACATTCACTGTGCACCGTGTAACTTAACATTCAGTGTGCACCTTGTAACTCAACATTCACTGTGCACCGTGTAACTTAACATTCAGTGTGCACCTTGTAACTCAACATTCACTGTGCACCGTGTAACTTAACATTCAGTGTGCACCTTGTAACTCAACATTCACTGTGCACCTTGTAACTTAACATTCAGTGTGCACCTTGTAACTTAACATTCACTGTGCACCGTGTAACTTAACATTCAGTGTGCACCTTGTAACTCAACATTCACTGTGCACCTTGTAACTTAACATTCACTGTGCACCTTGTAACTTAACATTCAGTGTGCACCTTGTAACTCAACATTCACTGTGCACCTTGTAACTCAACATTCACTGTGCACCTTGTAACTTAACATTCAGTGTGCACCTTGTAACTTAACATTCACTGTGCACCATGTAACTTAACATTCAGTGTGCACCTTGTAACTCAACATTCACTGTGCACCTTGTAACTTAACATTCAGTGTGCACTGTGTACCAGTTATATGACTTGTCAGAAACGCTGTGCGTGTCAGTGATTGCGAGAGTGCACTAATTCCTCACCAAAATCTGTACTGCCCCGACCATTGTACCTTCTTCTGTGTATATAAATATAATATAATGTCTGGATAGGGAACTGAGGCTCCCACTACACTAGGTCGTCAGCTCCCTGTACTGTGGGTCTCCTCCACACTCCAGGTTTAAACCATTTACATTTACTTCAAACATGAATAAAACTGAATTTGAAAATTTCTTAATATGGCCTGAAACCAGACTTCTGAGACACCCTGTATAAGAATAAACTGCTGAGAAACTATGTGCAAGAACAGACCTTTTTAGACCTGTTTAAGAACAGACTTCTGGGCCACCCTGTATAAGGATATGCTTCTGGACCACTCTGTATAACAACTGACTGCTGAGACACCATATACAAGAACAGACTTTTGGGCCACCCTGTGTAACCTTTCTTGAGGCTACACGCTGAAATTGTAGGAGACAAAACCTGTTGCCAATAAATAATTAAACTTAATTAGCTAACGGTGTGATACGTTACTTGAAGTACTACTGAACTATGCTATCAGTTAGTTTTTTATTCTATCAAATGCAGCAAAATATTGCAGTACTTTGATTTACCTTTACCTGAGGATCACCATCTAGAGTTGCCTCGACGGGGGTAAGAATTAACGGGAGGACTGTCAAAGGTTCCCGCGTTATGAAGTATATCAATGTATTCCATTTACTTGGGCTCTAGGAGACTCGAACCCTGGACCCCACGTGTGTGAGGCCGAAGCTCTATCGACCGAGCTATTGAGTAGTCTTAATAAGGAAAGTTTCCAGAAGCTTTCGAGTCTCCTAGAGCCCAGGTGAATGGTATGTTTATTTCAACGGAAGTGTGCATGACAATTTATATCAACGTACGATGGTCAAACTGCACATCAGAAGATGAAGAAGCGACGACGTTTCGGTCCGGCCGGGACCATTATCATCGTCGTTTCTTCATATGATGTGTAGTTTAGTTATCATATCATCAAACTCATCGTCTGTATATCAAAGTACTGCAGAGCTACTCTGTCTTGCCTCATGCCATTCATCTCTGCTATCAACAAGCTGTGGTGGTAGAGCGGTCTTGTGGCCAGCAGCTAACGCTCTGATTTTGTCTTCTATTTTTTCTGCCAGTTTTGAATGTGCGTTTAGTTTTTGTCGTGGTTAATTGAAGAACAGATTTTACGTATTCAGGATTGATGGTTTCAACTCCTTTTATCATCAATCAATTCAATTTCACGACAAAAGTCTTAAAAATCTATTAGCTGTAAGCCCACTTCTCTTATTTTCCTTTACAACTATTATATTTCGGTATAAGTTGCTGATGAGCTCAACCTTGACTGTTTTGTGTAAGAATTCTTCCCCTCTGACTAATGTATTTGTATTTAAACTTTTTATAATGCTATTTAAATATAAACAGAAATTATAGAAGATCAATTCTGAGTGAATAGTTTCATAGTTTATGTTAGACCTGCAGTATAAAACACAATTAGATTTATTAGACCTCCAGCAGGTGTAGTCCTTGAATGGGACTTCATGGGTCACGGTCTCTACCCTTCCAATTGTGAAATAATTTCGTCCAACGAACAAATAATTTACATCACCTTTACTGGAAGCCTCGTTCATTATGCCCACTACCAACACACTTCTTGCATCGCCAGTGCTGCAATCCTCGAGGGCAACTCAATGACCTGAAGAGGACGGAGAAAAAAAGAATAGGGGATTTGGAAACCCATCATGTACCTTCTCATAATGTGCCTATCCTTCCCATGCACCCACTATACATATATACATAGTGTGTGTGTAATGATAATTGAGAGGTCATGAACTGGTATAACAGGATGGAACCAGCAAGCTTTCCGGTCTGTTTAGTTATTTGCCTGTTGGTAGTGGCCCCTGGCAACTGTCACCTAGTGGCCCCTGGCAACTGTCACCTAGTGGCCCCTGGCAACTGTCACCTAGTGGCCCCTGGCAACTGTCACCTAGTGGCCCCTGGCAACTGTCACCTAGTGGCCCCTGGCAACTGTCACCTAGTGGCCCCTGGCAACTGTCACCTAGTGGCCCCTGGCAACTGTCACCTAGTGGCCCCTGGCAACTGTCACCTAGTGGCCCTGGCAACTGTCACCTAGTGGCCCCTGGCAACTGTCACCTAGTGGCCCTGGCAACTGTCACCTAGTGGCCCCTGGCAACTGTCACCTAGTGCCCCCTGGCAACTGTCACATAGTGGCCCCTGGCAACTGTCACCTAGTGGCCCCTGGCAACTGTCACCTAGTGGCCCCTGGCAACTGTCACCTAGTGGCCCCTGGCAACTGTCACCTTGTGGCCCTGGCAACTGTCACCTAGTGGCCCCTGGCAACTGTCACCTAGTGGCCCCTGGCAACTGTCACCTAGTGGCCCCTGGCAACTGTCACCTAGTGGCCCCTGGCAACTGTCACCTAGTGGCCCCTGGCAACTGTCACCTAGTGGCCCCTGGCAACTGTCACCTAGTGGCCCCTGGCAACTGTCACCTAGTGGCCCCTGGCAACTGTCACCTAGTGGCCCCTGGCAACTGTCACCTAGTGGCCCCTGGCAACTGTCACCTAGTGGCCCCTGGCAACTGTCACCTAGTGGCCCCTGGCAACTGTCACCTAGTGGCCCCTGGCAACTGTCACCTAGTGGCCCCTGGCAACTGTCACCTAGTGGCCCCTGGCAACTGTCACCTAGTGGCCCTGGCAACTGTCACCTAGTGGCCCCTGGCAACTGTCACCAAGTGGCCCCTGGCAACTGTCACCTAGTAGCCCCTGGCAACTGTCACCTAGTGGCCCCTGGCAACTGTCACCTAGTGGCCCCTGGCAACTGTCACCTAGTGGCCCCTGGCAACTGTCACCTAGTGGCCCCTGGCAACTGTCACCAAGTGGCCCCTGGCAACTGTCACCTAGTAGCCCCTGGCAACTGTCACCTAGTGGCCCCTGGCAACTGTCACCTAGTGGCCCCTGGCAACTGTCACCTAGTGGCCCCTGGCAACTGTCACCTAGTGGCCCCTGGCAACTGTCACCTAGTGGCCCTGGCAACTGTCACCTAGTGGCCCCTGGCAACTGTCACCTAGTGGCCCCTGGCAACTGTCACATAGTGGCCCTGGCAACTGTCACCTAGTGGCTCCTGGCAACTGTCACCTAGTGGCCCTGACAACTGTCACCTAGTGGCCCTGGCAACTGTCACCTAGTGGCCCTGACAACTGTCACCTAGTGGCCCTGGCAACTGTCACCTAGTGGCCCTGGCAACTGTCACCTAGTGGCCCTGGCAACTGTCACCTAGTGGCCCTGGCAACTGTCACCTAGTGGCCGCTGGCAACCGTCACCTAGTGGCCCCTGGCAACTGTCACCTAGTGGCCCTGGCAACTGTCACCTAGTGGCCCTGGCAACTGTAACCTAGTGGCCCTGGCAACTGTCACCTAGTGGCCCTGGCAACTGTCACCTAGTGGCCCCTGGCAACTGACACCTAGTGGCCCTGGCAACTGTCACCTAGTGGCCCTGGCAACTGTCACCTAGTGGCCCCTGGCAACTATCACCTAGTGGCCCTGGCAACTCACCTAGTGGCCCTGACAACTGTCACCTAGTGGCCCCTGGCAACTGTCACCTAGTGTCCCCTGGCAACTGTCACCTAGTGGCCCTGGCAACTGTCACCTAGTGGCCCTGACAACTGTCACCTAGTGGCCCCTGGCAACTGTCACCTAGTGGCCCCTGACAACTGTCACCTAGTGGCCCTGGCAACTGTCACCTTATGGCCCTGGCAACTGTCACCTAGTGGCCCTGGCAACTGTCACCTAGTGGCCCTGGCAACTGTCACCAAGTGGCCCTGACAACTGTCACCTAGTGGCCCTGGCAACTGTCACCTAGTGGCCCTGGCAACTGTCACCTAGTGGCCCTGGCAACTGTCACCTAGTGGCCCTGGCAACTCACCTAGTGGCCCTGGCAACTGTCACCTAGTGGCCCCTGACAACTGTCACCTAGTGGCCTCTGGCAACTGTCACCTAGTGGCCCTGGCAACTGTCACCTTATGGCCCTGGCAACTGTCACCTAGTGGCCCTGGCAACTGTCACCTAGTGGCCTCTGGCAACTGTCACCTAGTGGCCCTGGCAACTGTCACCTTATGGCCCTGGCAACTGTCACCTAGTGGGCCTGGCAACTGTCACCTAGTGGCCTCTGGCAACTGTCACCTTATGGCCCTGGCAACTGTCACCTAGTGGCCCCTGGCAACTGTCACCTAGTGCCCCCTGGCAACTGTCACCTAGTGGCCCCTGGCAACTGTCACCTAGTGGCCCTGGCAACTGTCACCTAGTGGCCTCTGGCAACTGTCACCTAGTGGCCCTGGCAACTGTCACCTAGTGGCCCCTGGCAACTGTCACCTAGTGGCCCTGGCAACTGTCACCTAGTGGCCCTGGCAACTGTCACCTAGTGGCCCCTGGCAACTGTCACCTAGTGGCCCTGGCAACTGTCACCTAGTGGCCTCTGGCAACTGTCACCTAGTGGTCCTGGCAACTGTCACCTAGTGGCCTCTGGCAACTGTCACCTAGTGGCCCTGGCAACTGTCACCTAGTGGCCTCTGGCAACTGTCACCTAGTGGCCCTGGCAACTGTCACCTAGTGGCCCTGGCAACTGTCACCTAAAATGCACTCTTCTTCACAAACGAGTTTTGTTTAATTAGGTACTTGTTTCGTCAGTTAGTCTAGCAATATAGAAATAAGTAATGTATTTTTGTGAACTTCATATTCCATTTATATGTACATTTCATAATAAAACAAAATAACAGTGTGTTTATCTCAATCTCCAAACTGTCGATTTGATAAGTGGTTGATTGATGACCAGCAGCTGGCATGACGTCCCACGTGGAAGCCTCAGTAGGAAGCCTATGCTCACTCTGGGACTGGTTACAAATACAAATATTTATTCAGGTAAAGTACATACATACAAGGTAAGATACAAAAGTTGATGGATTTATAGATAGAGCTAGTACATACAATGCCTAAAGCCACTATTACGCAAAGCGTTTCGGGCAGGAAAAACACTAAGACTAAAACTTAATACTAATATTAGCTAGGTTAACTCTTCATTCTACTTCTGGCGCCTTGTTAGTCATATTATCACGGCAGAACTGTACTCTAGTCTGGTCTTACATCTTTAGACATCCTGTATATGCTTACATCACACACCAGCCCGTCCTCTCCAGGGTTCACGATGTCACTAAACTCTGTGTCCTAAATTACTCGAATCTAATCTGAGGACCCATATATAGAAAACGGGATATCACGTCAATTTCATCAACAGCTCCGAGCGTCCTTACATCTCATATATTATTATTATTATACTGGTACACAGTCTTACATATACACATCATTGAGCATACATTCACGTCATCTAAGTGATAAAGGGGTCTGATGGGTGTGAGAAAAGTACAAGATTAAAAAATAATTCATATTTTTGCTGAACATAAATAAATAAATAAATTTTTATTCAGGAAAAGTACATACAGAGTTGATATACAAACATAATGTTGGATTTATAGATAGAGCTAGTACATACAATACCTAAACCAACTAATACGCATAGCGTTTCGGGCAAAACAGAAGAGCTGAATACAACAATATGCCCGAAACGCTTTGCGTAATAGTGGCTTTAGGCATTGTATGTACTAGCTATACCTATAAGTTAAACAATCCTTGTAAATATTTATTGTATGTATGTACCTTACCTAAATAAAATTGTATTGTATTGTATTGTAACAATGAAGAGGCTAAAATGCACAAAATCAACAGGTGCTGATGAGGTATATGCAGAAATTCTTGAATATTTTGACAAAAATAAAATTTAATGAGTGAAAAATTTGTTCAATGTGCAAGTTAGTGGACTGCAAAAGAGACGGTATTTAACCACTGCATAAAAATCAAGAAGAACGTAGCGAGTTCTAGTGACCTAGAAAAACTAGGTCAAATGGAGGAGTAGGTCTGTATATTAAAGAAGACCTGGTATGCACAGAACTACTAAATTCAACTAATGAGGTGGTAGAGGTACTTGGAATGAAGGTAGAGAAACTAAACCTAATTATTATTCTAATATATAAACCGCCAGATACAACGATTGAGGAATTCACAGAGCAGATGCACAAAATAGAGAACATACTTGACAACCTAGCAAACCCAGCTCCAGATATTATCTTTCTTGGAGATTTCAATTTACCGAGTCTAAGATGGAGAACGGCAAACACAAATATCATAGCAGGGAATGACCCGGGAAATAACCAACCACAGGTTAGAGAACTTTTGAGATTCTATGACAAATTCTCGCTCAATCAACAGATTACAGAACCAACTAGGAACGAAAACACACTAGACTTGTTATTCACAAACAATGATGAACTAATCAGGGATATCACAATCTCAGATACTTCATACTCAGACCATAAGCTCATTGAAGTGCGAACTAGCATAAATAACGGTAGTAGGTCTAAGAGACCCAACAAGCGAGAAGGAATATTCAATCAATTCAATTTCAATAATAAGAGGATTGACTGGGAAAAAATAAATGTAGACCTTGCAACCATTCAATGGGAGACGGTCTTAAGCGACAAAACTCCCACACAGGGAATAGCTCAACTGACAGCTGAAGCTTACAAGGTCTGCTTGAAGCACGTGCCTGTGAGGAGGGGCAGAAAGAGGACCACTCTAGAAAGAGAACGGAGACGACTGTACAGGAGAAGGAAAAAAATAACGGAAATGCTTCGGCAGACACAACTATCACAAGCAAGGAAAACAAGCCTAAGCAGGGAGATTGAGGAAATAGAACAAACGTTGAAGCGATCATATGAGTCTGAGGAAATGGAATTGGAACAGAAAGCTATACAAGAGATAAGGAAAAATCCGAAATATTTTTTCACATACGCAAAATCAAAATCCAAAACCTCGACCAGTATTGGACCGTTAATTACAAATGAAGGTACGTACACAGAGGACAACAAAGAGATTAGTGAAATTCTAAGAAGCCAGTATGAGGCTATGTTTAGCACGCCAATAAACAACATGAAAGTTGATGACCCAGACAGCTTCTTTATGAATGACATTCAAGCTGCAGATAATATAACGGATATTACCACAAACTCGGAAGACTTTGAAAGAGAAATTGATAATATGCCTATGCACTCAGCTCCTGGGCCTGACTCATGGAATTCAATATTCATAAAGAAATGTAAAGTACCAGTAGCGAGAGCACTCAGCGTAATATGGAGAAAGAGCCTGGATACAGGGGAGATACCAGCAGCACTTAAATCTGCAGATATAGCTCCGTTGCACAAGGGGGGGAGTAAAGCCTTGGCAAAAAATTATAGGCCAGTTGCACTAACATCACACATAATAAAAGTGTTTGAAAGAGTGATTAGGAATCAAATTTCTAGTTTTATGGAAAACAATGAATTGCACAATCCAGGACAACATGGATTTAGAGCGGGAAGATCCTGTCTGTCACAGTTACTCAACCACTATGACAAAATCACAGAAGCCCTAGAAGAAAAGCAAAATGCAGATGTTGTATACACAGACTTTGCAAAGGCGTTCGACAAATGTGACCATGGGGTGATAGCTCACAAAATGAGGTCAATGGGAATAACTGGAAAAGTAGGACGCTGGATACTCAATTTCCTGTCGAACAGAACACAAAGAGTAACAGTCAATCAAATAAAATCGAGTCCAAGCGATGTTAAAAGCTCTGTACCTCAAGGTACAGTCCTTGCACCGCTACTGTTCCTTATTCTCATATCTGATATAGACAAAAATACACGCCACAGCTTCGTGTCGTCCTTTGCAGATGACACAAAAATCAGCATGAAAATTACCTCTGCTGAAGACATTGAAAAACTACAAGCAGATGTCAACAAAGTTTTTGATTGGGCAGCAGAAAATAACATGATGTTTAACAGTGATAAATTTCAGGTACTCAGGTACGGCAAAAATGAGGATCTGAAACATAATACAGGGTACAAAACACAATCGAATCTTCCCATAGTAGAAAAACAGCATGTCAAGGATTTGGGAATAATGATGTCCGACGATCTAACGTTTAGGGAGCATAACCAAGCAAATATTGCGTCAGCCAGAAAAATGATCGGATGGATTACGAGAACTTTCAAATCCAGGGATCCCATCACAATGGTTGTACTCTTCAAGTCACTTGTGCTGTCCCGTCTCGAGTACTGCTCAGTACTCACTTCGCCCTTCAGAGCAGGAGAGATTGCTGAAATAGAGGGAATACAGAGAACATATACGGCACGCATAGACGAGATAAAACACCTAAATTATTGGGATCGTCTCAAAGCTCTCCAAATGTACTCTCTAGAAAGGAGACGAGAGAGATACCAAATAATATACACATGGAAAATACTGGAGGGTCAGGTCCCAAATCTACACAGTAAAATAACAACGTACTGGAGTGAACGATATGGAAGAAAATGCAAGATTGAACCTGTGAAGAGCAGAGGTGCCATAGGCACAATCAGAGAGCACTGTATAAACATCAGGGGTCCGCGGTTGTTCAACGTCCTCCCAGCGAGCATAAGAAATATTGCCGGAACAACCGTGGACATCTTCAAGAGAAAACTGGACGGTTTTCTAAGAGAAGTTCCGGATCAGCCGGGCTGTGGTGGGTACGTGGCCCTGCGGGCCGCTCCAAGCAACAGCCTGGTGGACCAAACTCTCACAAGTCGAGCCTGGCCTCGGGCCGGGCTTGGGGAGTAGAAGAACTCCCAGAACCCCATCAACCAGGTATCAACCAGGTGTAAGAAGTACAGAATCATCAGTTTACAAAGAATAGTGATCAGAAAGGCACCGGGAATGACTGAGAAATTGGTCAATGAGGAACGAGATTGGTTCCCTGATGGAAGACGCCGTGTTCGTCAAATACTTGCATTGATACAGCATATTTAGACCTCTTGTAAGGTCTGCAATGCCTAAAGCCACTAATGCACAGGGCGTTCCGGGCATAACATGGCAGACAACAGCGGTAATACAGGTTCAGTAATTAAAGTTCAATAACAGCAAAGTATAGGGTAACATTTAGGAAATAATGTAGGTTACATAGCCAACATCGACCGAGCTCTCATGCACAGCTCTGGTTGGAAGCAGGTCGACGAGGAACTATGTAGAGTAAGACAGATCCTCGTCAATAATGGCTTATCGAACGGTTACACTAAAGATGTCATTAAAAGAAAGGTGAGGCACCAGCAGCCTCTGAAGAAACAACCATCACAACACCTGTACCTCCCTATCACACTGTTTTACTGGAACATCTTTTCCCTTGCTTACAAAATGGAGGAAAGAGTCCTGAAAGATATTATTGATAGGAACGTTATCCCCACAGACACCAATCAGAAGATACAATTAACAATATATTACAAAAATAAGAAGAAGCCCAACCTACTTATCAAGAACTCTCCAGACACCCAACAGAACGCCTTAAGAGAGACCAACGTCGTCTATGCCTTCACATGCCCACTTGGGGACTGTCAGCCCCAAAGATCTCAGTACATTGGCAAGACCCTAACGTCTCTCTCTAGAATCAACTGCTCCTGGAGAGGATGGAGGATTAAAAATAATTATTACTTACAGTCTACTGAGATTAGTCTCACAAGTACCAGGTAATCCACTTTTTAGTGTTGTACAGAATGAGTTTACGTGAAGGAGTATTACCTGATGCTTGGACAAAGAGTGTCATTGTTCCCATCCCCAAACCACACTCAGATAATTATAGACCCATATCTCTAACATC